TTATTTACTAGTGCTTCAACTTAACTTTAGGGGCAGTGATCACATCTGTTTTAAAATTGACTAACTTGGAATTTAATACTAGATATGTTTAAGAGAGTTAAGCCTACAAGTAGAATGAAGCATTACTCTTGTACTGCTCTTATGTTAGTGAAGCCAGACTTCTGTGTTTCTTTTTTTTTTTTTTTAAATGCATAGAAAAACTAGGGTGTAGGCCAGAGGTTCAGTTGGTGAGAGGATTCACCAGAGACGGAGTAGGGAGCAGAACAGGCAAAATAACTGAAATATACTGCTGAGGGGAGCAGTGGGAGAGACAGGAGAGGTCTGCTGCGCCATGTGGGTTAGCTCCCTGGCTGGGCAGGGATCAAACTCAGGCAACAGAGGTGATAGCACTAAGGCTGAACCCCTATGCCATAGGAAGGCCCCCCTTTTGTGTTTCTTTTGTGACTTAGATAATTCAGTGGTAGATGTGAAGGATCAGCATCACAGAGGTATACAGGTTTCTTGGTTTCACATAAAAACTCAAGCCTCTAGATTCCCCCGAGCATTGTGAAAATAAGTATATTCTGATTGTTTTGAATGTGGGTACCTTAGACTTAAAAGTTTGAGATTCCAGGGTGGTCATGTTGCTTTTGACCACATAGATAGGAACAGTTTTTCGTAATTTTAGGTGCAGTGTTCCCAGTAGAACCATTTTCCTAATATTGTGATACTTGAATTTTTATGTCCTAACATCTGAAATAATGAGAAGCTGTGAAAAAGCATTGGTATCAGGAGGTTTCAATAGCTGCAGCTGACTGAATAAATGCAGTTTCCTCATTGGTGAAGAATTTAAAAAGTACCGTTAATTAAAAAGCCCCATTACATAAATTTAAAATAAACCCAGGAATGAACATCACAGGATAGAGACTTTAAGATCCAAAATTGAGGGGAAATGTCACTTGAACACTATAGTTATTAAGAAAATATAATTTTTAAGTTAATGATTTGGATGTGAAAAAAGCTGAAAAATGTGCATAAAAGCATAATATAAGAGAAATAATTCAGAAAAAAAAAAGAGGTTCAAGGATTAGGATAGATGAGAGGTAGTAGAAAGTGACGTATTATTTGTACAAAAATAAAAACTAAAGTCCTGGGGCCTCCCTGGCGGCACAATGGGTTGAGTGCAGTGCTGTGAAACTGTCCGCAGCCTCTACAGCACGGGTTCGATTCCCGACTGGCCAGGGAGAAATCCACATGGCACGGCAGACCTCTCCTGTCTCGCCCGCTGTTCCCCTCAGCAGTGTCTTCAGCCCAACTGCCTGTTCTGCTCCCCACTCTGTCTCTGGTGAATTCTCTCACCCTCCCACACCTCTGGCCTGCACCCCAGTTCTTGTATAAATAAATAAATCTTTAAAAAAATAAACTAAATTCCTGTGGAAATAAATAACATGCCAAGCAGGGTGGCAAGCTATAAGATTAAATATACCTTAAAGGCAGGAAATTAGATGTGATTTGCAAGGTAATTTGATTTTTTAAAATAAAGGTAATGATATATTCGAGAGAAGCATAGGTAATTTAGAAATATTTATACTCAAATACCACATCAAAATAAGAAAATTGAAGCCTCTTTCAGCCTGTATGGATTTATTTAAAATTATTTACATATATTTGGACACTATGAATGTCAGCATATTTATCTAGTTTCAAAAGAAAAAAAATCAAGATTTCTAGAGATATTGACTTTCTGGAGTGAATTTGAAAAGTTATATATCTATTAGACTAAAGAGTAGAGTGAATTAATATTTCTTTCTCCATCAGTATTATGTTAAATTAGCAAATAAAAACATTGTCTTCTACATGCTAGATGCAATATTAAATATTTTTGTGTTTGCATTATCTTATTTAATATTTAGATATTAATGGAGGTTTAGCAGGTTATAAGATTTATTTTAGATCAAACAATTCCTTATGCCATAGGTGAAATTCAAACTCTTGTTTGTCTGAATATTATATATACTCTTAGTCAATCTATAATTAATAGTTTTGTACTTAGGTGTGTAGGATATAGCTATCAACATAGGAAATTAATTTGAGTGTTAACATAATGGACTTATGTAATTTGTGATAAATATTCAGAAGTATGAAGACAGAAAAAATTTACCTTAATTGAAAATGAAACTTAAAAATTTGAATTCAAGGGCCTCCCTGATGGCACAAGTGGTTAATTAAGATTCAGCCTGTGAAGCTGTCCACAGCCTCTGCAACACTTGAGTTTGATCCCCGGCTGGCCAGAGAGCAACCCACATGACGCAGCAGACCTCTCCTGGCTCGCCTGCTGTTCCCCTCAGCAGTGTATTTTGGTCAGTCTGCCTGTTCTGTTCCCCACTCTGTCTCTGCTGAATCCTCTCCCCCCGCAACACCTCTGGCATGTACCCCAGCTCTTGTGTGCATGGATAAATAAATCTTTAAAAAAAGAAATGCAAATAGCACAAAATTAAAACGTAAAATTCTTCAAAAAAATTTTTTTGAGTTTACTTTGGCCTAGCTCTACTATTTGTTCATTGATTTCATTCTTTTTCTTAACTTTGTCCTGCTTCACATTGTCTTTCCAGAAACAGTTTTACAATTCATTCTTGGCTCTTTCTAAGTAGCATTACTCTGTACTCTTTTTGATTGCTGCCTTATTATGCAAGCCTGTTCCTACCTCTCTTGTATAGGTTAGCACAATCCTTATCTTCCATCATGCCTCAGTCCCACATCTTATTTTCTGTTTACTTCCATACCCAAGGAGTATTTTTTCTCATTTCCTAGCTTTACTTTTGGAAGTTAGATATCCAAACTTGGATTGATCTTAAAACATATTCAGATTAATGGGATACCACTAAATAAATATAAAAATAATGAAATAGGGCCTCCCCTGGTGGCACAGCAGTTGAGCGCTGGGCTGCGAAGCTGCCCACTGCCTCTGCAGCGCCAGTTCGATCCCCGGCTGCCAGGGAGGGTCCCACATGGCGTGATAGACCTCTGCTGCCGTGCCTGCTGCTCCCCTCAGCAGTGTACTTCGTCGGTCTGCCTGTTCTCTTCCCCGCTCTGGCTCTGGTGAATTCTCTCACCCTCTTGTGCTTCTGACTGTACCCAGTGCTTGTATAAATAAATAATCTTTAAAAAAAATAATGAAATAGCCCAAAAATAGCTGAGCTGAATGATATAAAAAATATCTGTTGGATTAATTAACATTTTAGTTCATTTTCTAAAGGATGTATATACTGACATTAAGCAATTGATTTATCTGAGGTTTTTGTTTTAACTGATTAAATGATTTATATATTTTTATCATAATTAAAATAATTGTAGAGTAACATCAATTGGAAAATCAAACAGAAAAGGGTTAAATAAGAAAATATGATATGATGCAGATGAATTCTACAGAAATTTCTACCATTATAATCCAAAAGGCTTTTCATTGTCACATTTAAAGATAACTACAGTCAGAATAATAAGTAAAAAATGTGAGCTTTTCTAAATAGACAGTTACAAATGTTTAAATCTATATTGCCTTTCCTTTTCCCAAGGTCATTAAAAAGATTTTTTTTTAAATTTCTTCCCTTTCCTTGTTTTCTGAAAGGCATCAGACCAGAACCAATTTTTTTAATTCTTTGAGGTCAGATTGGGAGGAATGTGAAAGGTTGGAGAGTAATTTGGGGGGGCGGAGTTTTGTGGAGAAGGAATCTGGAGAAACTGGAGTGTGAGGGACGTACATAGGAGAAATAAAGAAGAGTTTTAAACGTTATTGTTCAAGAAATAAAAGTAAAGAACTTAAGTTATTTCTAAATTTGCTTCCAAATGCCACAACACAACTTGAGATAATACAATATGGGTCAAGATTTAATGAAACTGGGAATTGTCAAAAGTTTTATATCATTGTCTAAGATGGGAGTGTTGGGATGCAAATTACAATCTAATCTTAAAGTGGAAGCTGTTTTCACAGGATAATATTTTAAATGTTTGTTGGTCAAGAGTTAGTGTTTTATTCTGTTAAGGAACAAGTTATGTAACTGATTTATGTGCTACCATTTTTTATGATAAGAGTAATTACATTGTTTTTCTCTTCTGGGACATTGAACATTATGTTGGCTTGCAAAAGCAAATGTAGGAAGGAAAAGTGGAGTAAAATTTGATTCTAATATGTCTTTCCTGCATATGAAACACACTTGACATGTCTATTTTCTTTTTGTCCTGCATCATTTTATGTTCTACAGATACAATCCAAAGCAACAGCATTGTCTCTAAATAGAAATGTAAGCCAGTGTCAGATTAGTTCTTCAAAATTTTAATGATCAATAAAAATGTTTTTCATCTTTTAACCTTATCTGTTGTTTTAGCACTCAAAATTAAATTTATTAAAATACCATAAAGATTCCTAGAGTAATCCTGGGTATGGTAACTTGTGAGTGGTCTTCAATATTATTTGTATATGTGCTATAATCATTGAGTATTGTTTATATATATATAAATTTCCAAAAGGGAAGAGGAGGAACAATTTTATAGACTCTTAGTGGTACCTCATAGATTTTTAAAAAATGTATTTTTTTAATCTAATAGAACCTCTTTCATTATCAACATTTCTGACATCAACTAATTTAAAACACCTGATATTGCTTTAGAACAGAATTGAACAGAATTGTAAGGTCTCAGGGCCTTCCAGATAAAACCTACAATGTAAGGCTAGTCTGTCATAGATTAGAAGGGGATCTTCTGTTTTTGTTTTTTATTCTGTAACAGCAGAAATTGGAAAGATAAAGTGAAAATGTTGAGGTGGTAAAGACTAATTTAATTCTGATTTATATTGGTAACATCACCTTAAAAACATCAGTTACTATCAGTGACACCCAAATTCATGAACAAAATGAAGTCCCAGATTTAATAATTAGAAAGTTGAGTTCAGAAATACAGCTAATAGCTTTGCAAACTGGAAATATTAATAGTTGGATGCTAACTTTCTGTGCTTTGTTTTCTTGCAGGGAACAAATCACAAGACAGTGGCATAGCAGAGATGGAAGAACTTCCTGTACCACATAATATCAAAATAAGCAACATTACATGTGATTCTTTTAAGATTTCATGGGAAATGGATTCAAAGTCAAAGGACCGTATTACACACTATTTCATTGACCTCAACAAGAAAGAGAACAAGAACTCCAATAAATTTAAACACAAGGTAAAATCCTCATACATCCTTAAATTTTTTGTATCAGAAGCTTTCAAAGTATGAGGATTTTTTTTATTTTTATTTATACATACAAGAATTGGGGTGTAGACCAGAGGTGTGGGGGGCAGTGAGAGGGTTCACCAGAGAAGAGTGGTGAGCAGACAGGCAGATTTACTGATATACACTGCTGAGGGGAGCAGCAGGTGAGACAGGAGTGGTCTGTTGGACCTTATATGGGTTAGCTCCCTGGCTGGGGATTGAACTTAGGCCTTAGCCACCAGGGAGGCCCCAGTATGAGGATATTTTGAAAGAAGGAATAATGTTCTATTGTTTGCTGATATGGTATCATCAGCATTAGGAAGAATAAAAATATTATGTCATTTAATCGATTTGCCATTCAACTCATTTATTTCTACTCATAGATATCTACCCCAAAAATCCAAAAACACTGATTCTAAAGGAAACTTGTACTCCCATCTTTATTGCAGTGCTGTTTACTATAGCTAAATTATGGTAACAATCTAAGGGCCCCAAAATAGGTGAGTGGATCAAAATGATGTGGTATATATACATATTGGAATATTATTACTCAGCGATCAAAATAGATAAACTCATGCCATTTGCAGCAACATGGATGGAACTGGAAGGAATAATGTTAAATGAACTAAGTCAGAAGAAGAAAGATAAATACCAGATGCTGTCAATAATATGTGGAATATAAAGTAGCTAAGCTAAGAGTCAGATAAACACAAACTTAAAAATCTAAATTCAGAATGGTTAGAGAGGGGAGAAGAAAGGGTAAGAACAATGAGGGAAGGAAGCACAGTGGACTATGGTAGTAAACTAAGGCGAATGGTTATTTGGTGGTGGGTGCACTATGTGGTAATACTTGATAAGGGTATGCAAATATTACCTCAATTAAAACTAAATTTATATTTAAAAGAATAAATAAACAAATGAATTAGACCAACTAAGAGAATTTGACTCAGTAATCTCTGGCATATCAATAAATATAATTATAGATGTCTAAAAAAAAAAAAAAAGAACTGTCATTTAAAAATCTTATCCCTCACCATTTATTGAACAAACTTTCTTTGCTCCAGTGCATATTCTTTGCTCCTTTGTCAAATATTAGTTGACCATAAATCTGTGGGTTTATTTCTGGATTTTCTATTTGATTCCATTGGTGTGTCTGTTCTTGTTCCAATATCATGCAGTTTTGATAATTATGGCTTTGTAGTATAGTTTGAAGTCTGGGAGTGTGATGCCTCCATTCCCTTATTTATTTTTTTTTTTTTTTCAAAAGAGCTTTGGCTATTTGGGGGTTTTGGTGATTCTATATGAATTTCATCAATAATTGTTCTATTTCTTTGAAGAATGTTATTGAAATTTTTATTGGAATTGCATTGAATCTGTATATTGCTTTTGGTAGGATGGCCATTTTGATTATGTTAATTCTTCCAATCCATGAGCAGGGAATGTCTTTCCATTTCTTTGTGTCTTCTTCTATTTCTTTTAACAGTATTTTATAGTTAGCACCCCTATGTTTATAGCAGCACTGTTTACAATAGCTAAGCTATGGAAGCAACCCAAATGCCCAAAAATAGATGACTGGATCAAGAAGATGTGATACATATACACAATGGAATATTACTCAGCAATCAAAAAAGATAAACACATGCAGTTCGCAGCAACATGGAGGGAGCTAGAAGGGATCATCTCAGCGAAATAAGTCAGAAAGAAAAAGAAAAATACCGGATGGTCTCACTCATAGCAGGAATTTAGAAAACCTAAATAAGAGACCAGGAAAAAGACTAATCAATACAAAGTAAAACTCAAAATCAACTAGCAACTATAAACCAGAGACACACTATGCGGGGGGGGGGGGGGGGGTGAGGGAGGGGCTGGGAAAGGAAGGACTAGAGTCAAAATAAGGGGGGATTTTATGCAATTGTATGCGGAATATAACCAAAATGAAAATGCATACATTGTGCAAAGACCAAAAAAGATGTAAGAATTATATAAAATAAAATATTTAAATAAAAAAATGGTTAAAAAATAAGTAAATAAAAATCTTATCCCTCTAAGGAATTTGTAAGAAAATGAAGTGCCAACCAAGTATGTTGTTAAAAAGCAATTTTTTCTTCAAAAAAAAAAATCTCATACAGACATAAAAATGAACATGTGTTAAAGAATTTAATTCATGACTGTGTAACTGATGAGGTATTACAAGCAATTTAAAGAGTAATCCAAAGACAAGACACTGTAATAGATCTGGAGTACTGAAATGAATGTTTAAATGGAAGCAAAGCTTCCTCACTGGGGTGAGGGAAGAAAACATGTCCCTCCACTGTACAGAATTCATTTATATATATTTAGACAAGAATAACTGAATTGTTATGTATCTACAAACTACGAAGTTATAAAGTAGCTTCCACCAAAACAGAAGATAGCCAAAAGAGTGTGCCGCTATAGGCAATTCATGGTTTGCCACCAAAGCATATATTTGCTCCTGTGATAACTATCAAACTATCCTATGATAACTATTGATGCAGTTTGTAAATTCAGATTATATGTTAGAAAACTTTGGGATGGAAAATTGCTTTATATAGTCAATTTTATGATTTGAAATTAAAAATTAATCATTAGATGTTCTAGATATATAATACTTCTTTGATATTCTTATACATTTTACTTAATCTATTTTAATACATACCTCTCTTCAGAAGTAGTCATAAAGAGGATAATATTATAGTTACCTGTCTAAGTATTCTTTTGATATTTTCAGTGACAATGATAATTGGTCTCTTTTTTATATTGATACTAAATTTTAACTTAGGAAGTCTTTTATGAAAATGATCTTGTCTGGAAATTACGTGTCTTACTAAATGTGTAATTATACATGCTAACAATACATCAGGGTTATATCTGCATATGAGTGTGAGAGAGAAAACAGATCGATGTCATTATTTTTCCCATGTTCCAATTTTGACTATGCTTTTTGGAAATGAATATTCTCTTAGATTACATACTTGAAGTAGTTTTGAAATATTTAACATTAAATGATGAATAGATCAAGATTTTTACCCCCTTTCTTTAATCTACACTTAAAATACTGTATCTGTGGATATGTAATAAATATTCAACTAGTGGTTTAATTATGTGTTGTTTAGAAATACATAAGCATTACTGTGACCCATACTTGATTACAAATGAAGCAAATGTTATCTTATTTAGATGTAAAACTGACTCATTTATTTTAAAAATATTTTCTTTCTTCATGTGTAAAATATTTAGTAATGGGTTGCTCTAGCAAAATTATTAGCTATAATAAACTAAGCAGATATAATACTTACAAATGCTATGTATTGAGTTATAGTTTCTCTTATCACTGTTTATTAGAATGTTGTATTTTAGGAGCATATATAAGGAGTATACAAAAAAATAACATTATATTGGAAATCAAGAAGCCTGGGATATAAATATATTTGTCATTAACTAGCTGTGTGATCTTGGGCATGTCTCTTAATCAAGTTGTGCCTTAGTTTTTACATATAGAAAATAAGAATTTGAATATAAAATTGTTAAATATCTTTGAACAGGGAAATTCTATCATCAGCCAGAAATTTGTAAATAATTTTGTAATTTGTAAGCAATTGTAAACATTGTTTACAGTTGATTCAAATTACCCTACTAAATTTATTTCCTCCCTGTTCCTCTCTCCCACCTTCTTCCCTCCTCTCTCTCCCTCCCTTCCTTCCTTCTGTCTTTAGGATGTCCCAACAAAATTGGTGGCAAAAGCTGTACCCTTGCCAATGACTGTTCGTGGACACTGGTTTTTGAGCCCAAGAACTGAGTATACAGTAGCAGTGCAGACTGCTTCAAAACAAGTTGATAGTGATTATGTTGTATCAGAATGGAGTGAAATTATAGAATTCTGCACAGCAGGTAAGAAAACTGGGTACAAATACAGAAAAACAGCACCTTATTTAACAGTTTCTGGAAAGCTAATTACAGAAAAATCTTTCTTGTAGTTATAAGGTAATAGGTCTTGCACTGGTCATTTTTGCATTGCCAGTAGAATTGTGTAACAGAATTAATGTATTAATTGGAAGGAGCTGAGGTACTTAGAAAAAGCTATGTAATGGCATCAAATTACTTTTTACTGCATGCAGTTTGATTATTCAAAGTAAAACCTTTGCAAATAAAAATGGATGCAGTTTGAAAATATATTCAGTATATTTTGAGTTTCATTGACAGAAATTTTTTGCTTTTTCCATTTTTTCATTTTCATAGGTATTAAAATATACATGCTTCTGTAATTTAGGGGAATGCAGATGAATGAATGCAGATCTCAATGGTTACTCCTTACAGAAATGTTATTAGATTCTTCACTGAGTGTTAGAAAAATTTAAGAAAAGTTGTCTCTAAACTAGTGTGTCTGCTTCTGTGTGTGTGTGTGCGCGTGTGCACATACTTCGCTCAAAAATAGCTCAGGATATCTGACATGGAGAGCCCATCCCCTCTGATGTTGAATTGTTCCTTAATATTCCATTAAACTGAAAATGTTACCATTCATTTCATTCATTCATTCAATCAAGAAACATTTATTGAGCACTTAAATAGGTGTTGAAGGAATACAAAGATACTTTAAAGACTATGTCATCCTCTCCTTTGTTTCAAGACTGGGACTATTTACTCTTCTTTGTCTAGGTGACTATTTCCTCTAAAAAATTATCCAGTGTTTCAACATAAAGGAAATTGTAGAACAGACAAATCTTAAACATTATCTTAAAAACAATTCACCTCACCTATGTCAGGTTGCTTAGCAACTTCCCCAGCTGAAGTGTCCTTCAATTAAACAGCTTTTATTCCCATCTTAGATTTATTACATGCTTAGCTACTGCTTTAGCTCACCATCATCTCTTTCTTAAACTCAGTATAAAACATCTATGGATATATTGAATGAATGAAAATTCTATGTTTTTAAAAAATTTTATATTCACTGCTTTTGTTTTTTCTAAAAGGAAGTTGCTAAGGATTGCAATATCTTTGGTTGATAAGGATTTTAATGTTTGAGAGCAAAGAAATCTTGTATCTGCCTAGTACCATATTTCTAAATAGCTAAGTTATCATTGATTAGAAGGACGATTGTTTTATGTATCACTAAGAAAACATATGCCAATTAAACTATAAGTGTTTTCTTATCACAGTTATTGTTCAGGTTCATGTCAGAAATGCTATAATATGAAACAGTACATTTTAGAATAGATGAAAGATGGTATTCATCATAATCCAGGGTTAACATAATATATTAGAAGAATTCTGACTGATGAAACTTTCACCTATACTTGAGCTATAATATTGGAATTAATATATCTCTCAATTTTTTCTTGACATAAAATCCCATCTTTGAATCTACCTTATTTATTCTTTTATATTGTATTTCTTTACATTTGCATTCATTGTGCCTACCAGTTAGGTTTAATCTATGACAAGTAGGCACAGTTTCTTCTGACATTGTTTCAGTAATTCTATTCCCATAGGACTACACAAAACCGTATCATAGTATTTGTACATTATAATTAACTATAATTTACCAGCTATACCCCTATTTTACATTAAGATAAGGTTTAAAATATCATTTCTTCTTTAGCTTAAGGAAGACATTTGACATTTCTAGTTCAGAAATACATCTATCCATCCATCCATTCATCTTCTCTATTCTCTATCAGTATCAGTAGTAGGTCTAGATACATATATACACATGTACTCTGTTCTATAACCTATTGAATATAAGTATATATTTTATTTATGTGTGTATGAAGAAAAACCTTATGCTTTCATTTGGAGTGATCTCACTGTTGCTCTTAATTAACTATCAATACATTCTCAAATTTTCCTAAGGAAGTTTTTGGTAAGTAATAAGAAAATCCAGCATTTAACTATGCCATAATACTTTCCTATAAATTATTTTGCAATTTTATTTCCATAAGTAAAATCAAAGGGGAACTTTGATGACATTGTAAATGGGACTGTTTTCTTGATTTCTTTCTTTTCTAGCTTATTCTTTGCATAAAGAAATGTACATACTTTCTTATATGTATAGTTTTTTGTAGCCTGCCATTTTACTGTTCTGATTTATATTTTCTAATAGTTTTTAGTGACATCCATAGCATTTTTTCTGTATATTATGTTGTCTGCAAAGTGAGTTTTCTTTTTTCCAATTTGAATTCCTTTTATATCTTTTTTTTCCACCAAATTGCTTTAGCTAAGACTTAGCCAATACTATGTTGAATAGTAGTAAACAAAGTGAAATTCCTTACATTGTACTTGATTTTAGAAGAAAAGCTTTCAGTTTTCCAACATTATGATATTAGCTGTAGGTTTGTCATATGTGACATTTATGATCTTGCATTGTGTTCCTTGTATCCCCATTTTTATAAGAATTTTTATCATAAATGGATGTTGAATATTGCCAAGTGCTTTTCTCTGCTTATATTGATATGCCCACTTCTTTTTAATCTTTTATGGATGTGGTAAATTGTATTGATTGATTGATATGTGAATGTTGAACCATCCCTGGAATAAATCCCACTCAGTCATGATAGATGATCCTTTTAATGTATTGTTGGATTTGATTTGCTAAGATTTTGAGGATTTTTTTCATCTGTGTTTATCAATATTGGTCTGTAGTTTTCTATTTTTTTGTGATATCCTTGTTTCCTTTTGGTATTAGATTAATTCTAGCTTCATAAAATGTATTTGGAAAAGTTTCCTCTATAGCATTTTGGTACATTTTGAGAAAAATAGATATTAGTTCTTCTTCCATGGTTTAGTAGAACTCACTGGCTTTTATTCACTGGGAGACTTTTGGTTACTGTTTCAATATCCTTGCTTACAAAGTTCTGTTCAGTTTTTCTATTTCATCCCAATTCAGTCTTGGAAACTTGTATGATTCTAAAATTTTGTCCATTTTTGTTAGGTTATCCAATGTATGGACATAAAGGTATTCACAGCAGCCTCTTACAACTCACGATTTCTGAGACCTCTTACAACTTTTACTTTGTTTCTGATTCAAGTTTTCTCCCTTTGTTCTTTGTGAGACTAGCTAGAGGTTTTCTCTATTTTGTTCATTATTTCAAAGAAGTAGCTTTGGTTTCCATTGATCTTTAGAAATATTTCTTTGATTTCTATTTCATGTATTTCCACTCTAATTTTTATTATTTCCTTCCCTCTATTGGAATTTGGTTTATTTTTTCTAGTTTTTAAGGTGTGAGGTTACATTATTTACTTTAAATCTGTCTCATTTCTTGATATAGTCCTCTATTGCTATATACTTTACTCCTAGTTTTGCTTTTGCTGCATCCCATGGGTCTGGTGATTCATGTACTCATACTTTTAATTTCCTCTGTGATTTCCTCCTTAACTCAAAAGTAACATTTTAGCCTCCATAGATTTGAGGTTTGTCCACATTTCTTTCTGTGAGTAACTTGCGGTTTTGTACCATTGTGTTTCAAAAAGATACTTGATATGATTTCAGACTTCATGAACTTATTAACACTTGCTTTATATCCCAACATCTGGTCTATTCTAGAGAATGTGCACTTGGAAAGTAGTCAGATTTGGGGGTATACAGTCCTATAACATGTCTATTAAGCCCTGTGGTCTTCACGGTCACTAGTACCATCCTCCATTTGTTCTGTTTACATATTTCTCTAGAATTTTTCATCTTATCTATTGAGCTTTTTTCACTTCCTGAATCTGTTTTCTTATTAAAACTTCAATTTCTATATTCTGTTCATTACCTTTATTTCTCACTTCATTTTTCTGAATTTTGATGTATCTCTGATTAGCTCTTTTAGATTTACTTTTCTGCATTTTCTATATTACTATTTTTTTATTATTATGGCAGGTTTGAACTTTTATCTGGTAGGGAAATAAAAGTGTTTTTTTTTTTTTTAAGATTTATTTATTTATTTATTTATTTATTTATGCAAGAACTGGGTACAGTCAGAAGCACAGGAGGGTGAGAGAATTCACCAGAGCCAGAGCAGGGAGCAGAACAGGCAGACAGATGGAGGACACTGCTGAGGGGAGCAGCGGGCACAGCAGGAGAGGTCTGCGTGCCATGTGGGACCCTCGCCGGTGGCCGGGGATCTAACCAGCGCTGCAGAGGCTGCGGGCAGCTTTGCAGCCCAGCGCTCAAAAGCTGCGCCACCGGGGAGGCCCTAAAAGTCTTTTATGTCTTTGTGGTTGTACTCTGGAGAGTTGTTCTCTCGTGATGTTTCATATTCCCTTAAAATCTCAAATTGTCATATGTTATGGGTTCTTTTGTTTCTGTACCAATTTTGCTGCTTTGGCTTTCCCTGATTTCAGGAAATATCTTTAGCAGCATCTGAGAGTTGAACTTTTACTTTTCCAGCAGATGTCACTGTGGTTTCATTTAATTTTAGTTTTGTTTTTTTCTTTGCTGGCTTCCAAAGACACTGAGAGCTGTTTCTGCAGTTGCTGAGTCAGAAGGTACAGGAGGAAACTGAAGGGGTCTAGCCAATAGTGCAGATGTGCTGGAGTTTGGGGAGGAATGACTGGCTGAGATTTGTGACACCAACTATATCCCTCCTCTCTGGGGGTCTCCTCTAGATCACAGACTCTGCAATCTGTACCCTATCAGTGTGCGTCACTAGGTCACTGACAATGCTGAGTGGTGGGAGAGGAAAGTGCAGCACAGCACATTGTCTTTTTTTCTTTTTACCTCAGTCAAGGGTATTGCCTCCACACTATTTAACTCACCCCCCCACCCCCAGGACCCTTTCTAAGCCAGTAGCCACATTGTCTTTATTGCCTAGCCTGGATTGCAGCATCAAGGCTCCTCTTTCTACCTACTTCTTGTTCAATGAAGTGTGATTCTCTTCTCTGTTTCATCTTCTCTGTCTCTATTTGTGTTAGTCCCTGATGTCAACGTGGTGTTTCAATTTTGTCTCAAGCCATAGGACTCTCTGGGTGTAGTGTCTTTCTGATTAACTGTTAGATAATCCTTGTGAAGCAAATATCCTCTGTAACTAAATTGGTCAACAAGCTAAAGAAAATTTTTATCTTTTAACCTACTCATCTTATTCGAATGGTGCCTTGTACATCAAATGCTCTCATGTAAATTAATATTTATTGAGTTGGTGACACAGTGAGTAAACTACGTGCCATGAGCTATTCAACTAAATTCCTTTTGTTTGGAAATTTTTGCTAATCTTTAAAGACCTAAAGTTTTGCTTAGATTCTGGTACAGAAATTTGACAACAGATAAGATTATTTTGAGGGATAACTTTAGTTTTTGAAGAATTGTATATGTACCCCAAAACTCAAATTGAGACCTAATTCTGGATTTGAAAAGTCATTACATTATGACTAGCCTCAATGTCAGAATCAATACAATGATCATAATTAATCTACCTTATGAACATCCCAGATTTAGAGAGTAAATTAAATTAACATTATTACTACCACTTTATATTCTTTATTGATTATTGATTATGAGCTTCTTTTAGTTGTCTTATCAGATAATTAAAGAAAAGCTAGTATGGTGTTGATTGACTTTACTTGGGTTATGCAGAGTCTATTCCATATTTAACATTTTTGTCTCAAAAGGTGAAAAATTATGCAAAGGTATTATTAAAAAAAACATAAGCCATAACAAAATTATTTCTATGAAAAGGAAAAATATAGCACACAAAGACAATGAATGTTTTCTTTTAAAAATAGTTTTCTACTCACTAACATGAATTTCCTAATGTTGAATTTTAATAATCTCCATTTATTAAGCATGTAGTTGTTATTTTTGTTAATACATTTTTAATGAGGCTTTTTTTGTTACTTTCAGATTATTCAAAAGTCCATCTAACACAACTGTTGGAGAAGGCTGAAGTGATTGCAGGTCGTATGCTTAAATTTTCTGTTTTTTATCGTAACCAGCACAAAGAATATTTTGATTATATTGGGTAAGAGTAAAAAAAGTTATTTGCTTTACTAAATGTTATTCCTAATTCTAGATTCAGTTTTCCCTTGAGGCTAATTCTGTAAAATAACAATTTCAATTTCCTTTTCAAAATATTTACACTCTTATTTTTATTTCCCAGATAATTAAGCAGAAAAAAGTTAGATGATGAGGTGTTTTTTTTTTTTTTACTTCACTTAAATTTCTTCCCATACTCATCTGTTATACCAATTCCTGTCTATTGAAATGAAAGATTTTCAACTTCCAGTGTTTGGATTGATGAGCATTTAATGTATATAATCCTCCTCTAATTCCTAATAACTGAATGCTTTCTCCCTTATACTAGCTACCAATTTTTCTCTTCTTGTGGGTTTCTTTAAGACAATGAAAATGACAAAATAAAAGGGTGATCATTTCAGGAAATATTATGGTGAATCAGGTGGGATATTTAGGCTCTTGCCTAAGTAGAAATCTCTCAGCCATTATGTTAGATAAAGTGTTCATGAGGAATGTCTTTTTTTACTTTTGAATTCTAGTATTGAATTGGCATTTCTAAGATAGCCTATGTTTACCCCTCACAGCAGTTTCTATGAATTCAAAAGAACTTCACACCACAGGTAGTTTTAATACTTACTTACAAGCATTTTCATATTTGTAAATAGGCAAATATGTTTTAAAGTGAGATGAGATTTTAAAGTGATATATGCTATATAGGCTCTATACATTAATTCCCATAGTTTGTCATTTTAAAAGCCTTTATCTCACTTTAAAGGATTCTAAAGTTGATAAGATTTAAAAGTGAAAACATTTAGGAAACTTTTTAAATGTTATATGCATCATACCTCTTTAGCTTTTCTTAAATCCAGATCATAGTTCCAGGTTTTACGTCAGCTCCCACCTGCAAAAAATGCAAACAAAATCAGAGAGAGACATAAATTTAACCATCTGTGTTTTTCAAATGAAATAGTTTGCTGTATCCTGGTTTTTATATATTTTGATGACAAAAAGACATTCCTGTCTTATGTTTGAATGTCCTTATAAACAGAGAGTTTAGTATATCATTCTCTTATCTGGATAAGAGATTACGTGTATTTCCTGGTGGATGCCCTTACCCTAATTTAGAAAGAACAAACTGAGATACAAAATATTTTAACCTGCCCACTCTTGGCTGATGTGGCTATATATATTCAACAAGAAAGGTATTTCTTTATATTTGTTAAGCATAAAACTTAAAAGCAAAAATAAATCCACTATTCCTTTTACCTTTAATAAGACATGATAGAATAAGTATATCTTTGGTAGTAGGTTTAGATTCCTGGAGTATGGACAATGTCTATTTTAAGTGGCCACTGGAGGTCAGTGTTTCTTTGATTTTGTCAGTCCTTTAGGTGGGAACTGGTCTTTTGTTTGCAGGTCCTTGGGCGCTCTAAAATTTGCTTCATTTATTTTCAAAAATTCTTCCAAGAAGAAATATTAAGACAGAGATTATAGAAATGAAATTATTGTATATATTGTATGCTTGATTCCAACACACCTAGTGTGAAAGATACGTTTACTAACAAGGAAATTTACTATTGTTGGAGTTCTCTTCATAGTTGTAAAATCCATGCAAATTAAGTCGATGCAGTACATAAATAAATACACTTGCCAAAACATGGGTACAATTTTTAAATGTTAATTTTGGAAAAATCTTTATTTTTAAAAATTAGTATATTACCTTCAGTAGGTCTTGATTTCCTCTTTAGGGTAATAACTTTAATCAAGACATACTTCCTGTATTGAAATCTATTTAAAATTTCATATTGTTATTCAGAATACTTGAATAGAATGGAACTTTTCACTTACTTAACAAACTTTACAAATCATTATAAAATATGTAAAACTCCTCAGTAAATTCCTCCTCAGTTCACATGAATGAACCCATTTTGGCCTCTCTTTCTAGAAATGAATTCCTGAATATCACTTTCCTTTACCCCCAAATGAAACAGGACTTTCTGTCTTCAAGTTCCTTCAAGTTCACTAGATAGGCTAATTATGTTTAAGATGAATTCTTATATCTGAAAGTTTTCTCTCTGAGAATCCAGACTGGTAGACATGTATAACTTCCTATATTTTTTATTTTTATTTATTTATTTTTTTTTAATGCAAGACAGTATATCTTCCAGCTACATGGTGTGAGTAGAAACCTGGTGGGAGCCTATCAGCTCTGTGTAGTAGCCTCCACACTCTGCACCATGTCATTGAGGCTGACTGGGGAACCTAAAATTTTATCCCCTGTCAGCAGTAAGTGATACTCACATACACTTACCCTATTGACAAATAGTCAGAAGAGGCCTACTAAAATACTAGATTTTTTTTTATGAAAAAGATTATAAGATCAAAAGTCTCATGGCATAATACTCAAAGTGTCCAGATATAGTCAAAATCTACTCATTATACCAAAAACCAGGAAGTTCTTAATTTAAATGAGAAAAAATAACCAACTGATACAAATTCTAATATAACAGATTTTACAATTATCTGACATGGATTTTCAAACAGCTACCATAATTTTTTTTTTTCAAGAAATTACAACACACTTGAAACAATAAAGAGAAAAAGAAGTAGAAGATATAAAAATAAATTGAAAAATGTTGTAAGTGAACTAAAAAAACTAAATGGAGTCAGCAAAAAAATCAAAAATACAAAAGAATTAGTAAACTTAAAGATAGAACAGTAGAAATTACCCAAACCGAGTAACTGAAAGTTGAATGGAAAAATATTAGCAGAGCCTCATGATGTGTGCAGCTATAACAGGCCTAACATCTAATATCACTCTTACCAGAGTCAAGAAGGAAAGGAGAAAGGAGGGGATACTAAATAAAAAAAATAAAAAAAAATCCAAAAAGTTATAGTTGAAATGTTCTCCTATTTGGGAAATGACTTAAATGTAAAGATTCAAAAAACTAAGTAAATTCCAAACAAATTAACCCAAAGAATTCCATGCCAAGACACAACATTCCTAAAAACAAAAGACAAAAAAAAACTTGAGAAAACATCTTATCTATATTTGAATGAATGTCATCATTAGAAATCACATATACCACGAGGAAGTGACAGCATTTTCAAGTGCTGGAAGGCCACTGTCAATTCAGAATCCTATATCCAGTGAAACTATCCTTCAAGAATATAGGGGGAATCGAGACATTCTCAGATGAAGGAAAACTAAGGGAATTTGTCACTAGCACCAACTACCATAAAGGAATGACTAGAGAAAGTTTTTGAAACAGGAAGGAAATAATTTTTACAACGGAATCTTGAAGCATCAAGGCAGAAACAACAACAATGAGAACAAAAACATAATATCTGATCCAGGATATCACACTACATTTATCATTTCCCCTTAGTCTCCTCTAATCTGTGACAGTTTCCTGATTTTCCCTTGACACTCCATTTTTAATAAGGTCCCTTCATAGTTCTCAGGCACTAAAATTTGAGACAAATTGCTGTTCTAAAGGTAGAGGCAAATCCTAGACACATTTTACTAAAACAAACTCTTTAAGAAGCATGTTGACTGGGGAAACCTACCCTTATCTGAGTAGTAATTTGTCCTTTTCATCCCAAGTCATTCTGGTCAAGGACCCTAGAAGAAAGAGAAGACAATCTCAGGGGGAATTCTTGAGAACAATTAACAAAATCACCATTCACAGAAATATAGTCAGGGTTGAAGCAATTTGTTGGGAATATGAAACTAGCAACTGTTAAGATTTGAAGCTTTTATTATTCTTAGGAAGAGTGAGGCAAGAAAAGGTCACCTAGCATGAGAACTAGTCAGAGATATGTGTTTACAGAACCTCAGCCAGACCCACAAGCTTCCAAAGCTTGGAGAAAAAGACTTTATCTCCTGCTCCCCTAGATCTCCTGCTAGTGCTTCACATTGGTAGAACTGAAATGGAGAGGACCAAGAGACAAGAATTGGATGACAGAGTACCATTCAACAGTGGAAGGCAAAAGGCTGGAGAATAGATCTGGGGGTAGTGTAAAGGGTGAATAACCTGCACTGTTTTGAGCAAAAAGCAGGAGAGAGGACTTGATTAGTAAACAGTGTCTGGGTCAAACAAAAAAGAAACTAGAAAAGATGTAAGTACATCACTCATCTTAGGACTAAATTTCTGGCATACTTTGAGGAAACCTTCAACATGTTTAATCAGTACTGTGTCCAGTTTTCTCTTCAAAAAGTTCTAAAACCCAGTAGGCATATATAATGGATGTGATTTCAGCTGTAGGATTTCTAATTCCACTTTAGTTTTTTCTAGTCAGATAATTTGTTTTCTGTTAAAGATCTCCAAGGTTTATAGTAGAATATCCTTACCTTAGGGTCAAGGCTAAAATTTAGCCAGCTATTGATAATGTAAAACACTGCATTCTTTTTCTGAGAGTAGGATGAGCATTCAGACCTTTGACAGAAGACAGTAGATTTTTACATCTATCACCATTCTAATCTTTAGACAGTAGCTTTATCACTACTGTTCCCAGCACTGACCATTTCTTCTCTCTGACAGAGAACATCATGGGAATGCTATGCAGCCCTCTGTCAAGGATAATAGTGGTAGCCATGGCTCTCCTATCAGTGGAAAATTAGAAGGCATCTTCTTCAGCTGCAGCACTGAATTCAATACTGGGAAGCCACCCCAGGATTCACCTTATGGAAGATACAGGTTTGAGATTGCAGCAGAAAAACTTTTTAACCCCAATACTAACTTATACTTTGGGGACTTCTACTGTATGTACACTGCTTATCATTATGTGATTCTTGTTATTGCTCCTGTGGGATCACCAGGAGATGAATTTTGTAAGCAGCGCCTTCCTCAGCTAAATTCCAAGGATAATAAATTTCTGACCTGTACAGAAGAAGATGGGGTGCTGGTTTACCATCATGCCCAGGATGTCATTTTAGAAGTCATTTACACTGACCCTGTGGATCTTTCTCTGGGCACCGTGGCAGAAATCACTGGTCATCAACTCATGAGCTTGTCTACTGCAAATGCAAAGAAAGATCCCAGCTGCAAAACCTGTAATATCAGTGTTGGACGTTAATGCCCATTTTTCTTATTCTTAGTCCCTTTTCTTCCCTTACGAGGATTGATTCTATGTTGTCTATTTTCATCACCAGATGTTTTCCACTGAAGCATGCACATGCCGCTATCACCAAAACCAAACTGCCACTTTTCAAATTTCATTCAGAGCCGTTTAAGTGTCTCCTATTCCTTACCCTTCCCACCTATTTTCAATGATAAAATACTGTTCTCCTTCTGACACTTTATTGCCTAGATGCTGCAATGTTTTATTTTTCCTTTATGCCAAACATAACAAAACAATGATATAAACTGCTTTAGCAAAAGACAAAATAACGGCTTATAAATGATGTTTAAATATGCATTCATTTTAATCTACTGAACAAATATTGGGATAACTCCAAATCGCATGAAAGGGTGTAATTGCAGCATGAGTTAAATCTTGAAGCCTAGAATTGTCAGCACTTCCAACTTGTTGTTTGACAGTGTTATTTATGTTATTTATATTAGCTAACAGGAAACAACTACTGTGTTCCAACATAATAAATACAATAGAAAAATATTTTATTTGTATTGTTGTATAAAATATTTACAGTCATATAGAATATATAGTTACATTTTAATAGCAATTGTATACATGTCACGAAACCATTTTCCTTATCAAAGATGTAGTTTGTAAACCTCAAATAGCTGTGTATCTGTCCTGTTACAAGTAGATGACTTCAATTAAACAAATATATGAAGGATATTATTCTGATTCATAAAAGTTATAAAATATCAGGTAAATACAGAGAAAACAATAAGCCTCTGAAATAGTCCACATCTGAAATAGTCAGTATTCTTTCTATCCAAATTATACGAAAATGTGAATTCTTCAACATCATGCTTAAACATTACAAAAAATAGAAATACAAACATGGTTGGTACAAGAGAGAAAATGTCAACCTTATTTTTACAAAAGCAAAATTAATAACATGTGTTTTAGTACAAAATAAGACAAAACAATATTCACTAAAATTGATGAAGCAAATAAAATATGCTGGCCTCTTTTCTAAGTATCATGGCAAACAATCTTCAAACCTTTCATTTTGACACAGAAGGAAGAATAACTACAGCTCATGAGAAAGCTTTTTGACTTTACAAAGTATAGACCTTGGAACATTAAGAAAAACATGTATTCCCAATGGAAAAATAGTTATATAATCTTAGTTTTAATAAACAAAAAATTTAGCAATCATAACTCTGGTCACATTAGATTATATACTACAGACATGTATCTATCCAAAATACCTATTTTCAAATTTTAATACAATATTTTAATATAAACATCTGTCAATTTTAGACAAAGATAATTCACAAAGTACATGCTATCAGAATGAACTTTGGTAATCAGAAATGTAAAATTTCAAATAACATAAAACAATGTGCTGTTTTTATATAGAAATAAAAAATTAGCGGGGACACATTCTAGTATATTTTAGGGTATTGAAAGCCTAGCAGACTTAAGGGACAAGGTAAGTTTTTTTTTAATCACTTAAAAATCTAGTAGAAGTTTCAAATAAATTATGTTCTTGCTAGCTGCATCCTTTTCTACATAAAAATGCAGTTTCTTTTTCTCCTCTAACTGAATTTTTAAAATCATGCCCTTTTCCTTACATCAATTTAAGCAATCTTTGGACACTAAACAGACTTCCCTAACATTGAACAAGTGGATGCTATGTATTAAGCTTGCTAAAATATTAGATACTTCCTGAAATAATTATATTGACTGAGTTTTCTCCTTGGCCTGGAAGAAGCTGAATTTTTTTTCCAGTTGCACTCTTATTTGTTGTCCATCCCCCATTTAAATCCCTCCTGCTCATTTATAATTACACTTACCATTCCTTCTTAAAAACAGATAATACTACCACTAAAGTGCTTCCATTTTCTGTATGTCAACACTACTTAGCAAGAATAGAAGAGGAAAATTAACTTCAGTTTATCTTGGTTGAAAGTGATCACAAACAGTTCCTGAACCTCAAATAGTTTTGGCCACATCTTGTTTGCTGATAAGGACCTCTAATAGTCTCAGTTTGGCTTTTATATGCTTGTATTCATAGTACTCATCTGCCATTGGTATCCTGTCTTCCTTTTGTGGACTTCTGCAAAGCAGAAAATACAGAAAATTCATAATGAATTAAGTCATTAAAAATCCTGTTATAATTCTTACATGAAAAAGTACGTGGTAGCAATTTCTTGATTTTTGCATCATATCACTTTACCATCTCTTTACCTTCATTCACTCCCTTTTTCATGTGTTCTTAAGTTTCTGTATAATAGTGCATTTTGACAACTTGGAGTTCACAGGTGTTTTGCATATATATGAATCCGTGAAGATATTTAACACTGGGGCAACTGAAAGGATGTGATGAGAAAAACAAAAACCAGAACCTTCAAGTTATTCTCCCATTACTTACCATAGTTCTATGCCTAGGAGAATGTTCACTCTTTATAATGACAGTTATTTAAAAATATCAAAAAAAACTATAAAAATTATGTTATAGAAATAATTTATGAATTTATGATAGAGGAAATAAATATAACAACTACCTTATAAACATGAAACATTTCCAAATTTTCTTCAAATGTGTCTCTACTAAAGTGTAACAGAATCACTGAGAAGTTTCCTGATTACTTTACGGATGTAAATTGCAATGAGTCTCTCCATATTAGTCCTACTAGACGTATGACAATGCATAGATTTTTATACATATGCATTACAACCACTACATGCTTTTTCCATTTACTTTGAAAAATAATTGGGTACTTCTGTAGTTGAAGCCATTTTCCTTCCCACAAAACTATGTTCCCAGGATATGCTTTCTAAAAGGCAATATTGCCTCAGGGTCTCAGACTTGTCTTCTTTTGGTTGGTAAGATGGTCAGTTGCTTTCAAAATAGTTGCATTCATGACTTGGAAATTTAGGCATGAAAAATATGAATTGAATCACCATAGTTTTTATTGAATATAAAGAAAAATACTATCCAGTAATAGTAAGCTGAACATGGGTAAATAGCATTTAATGTTTTACATGTACCTCTATTTCCCAATACTGATAAATATCTCTCTTACAAATAAAAATAACTAATCTATAAGGATTCTCTAAGAACATATTTCTCAGCTTGAGTTGTACCACTATACATTGCCCTGTGGTTTCCAGCAAAGAACTCAAAATAGTAGACCAATCTACAGAATTCTTATTAATTTATATAATTTATATAATTCCTTTGCCTCCATTCTGCATTATGAGCTAAACTTATTACTGAGTATCTAAATACTCACCTTAATTTTTGTAAACAGTGATAAGTGAAGAAATAGTCTAATTTACAAGGAAACAATGATCAACATATAATTTTCTCTGTTCCTGCATACTAATCCATTTTGACTAACAAGAATATGTTGACTAGAATGAACATTTTTGCTAATTATTTTTTGAAGTTGGTTTCCCACTATATAAAACATGGTAAGTTGCTTAGTATAGTTCCTGGCTCATACTTTTTAATAATGTATAATACCTATATGACTGTCATGCCTCTTGTATGGTAAATATTACCAAGAAATCACCATGCCTTCCAATTTCTAGTGAAATCATACCCATGATTATTTTATCATATGGATAGTTAAACCTTCCCAATAAAATGTCTTAAGAAAACAAGATTAAGATTCATATTTCTAGGGGGGGAGAAAAAAAGATTCATAATTTCTTAGCCATTCAACTATTTGATTTTAGTTGTAATATATCACCAATTTTGCATTTAGTTTAAATATACTACCACAAGAAGCATACAACCTCAATGAAATATAAGTATGTCTGAAGTGGGTTTAGGACTCACAGGTGCAGTAGAATACTCTTATGTAGAACATAACTAGCTTCTCTATATAGGAAACTGTATGTCAAGTACCACTGTAGATCCATTAGGCAAGACTACTGGCACTTTGGGAAGTTCTCAAACTCTTTAAAATAGACTCTTGGATTCAAATAACTAAAAATGTAAAAGTAAAATCTGTATGGAAATTTTGTTAAATAAAAAAAATGAAAGTGGAAGAGGAAAACAAATTATGTTTTATATTCTAAATTTAGCAACCACATAACAGTTCTCACTAAATTAAGTAAGAACAACAGAAACAGGAGTTTAGCTGAGCCAATCAACTTGAAAGGGAAATTCTAGTAGAGAACTAGGTGGGTTACATCTGTTATTTTGCCGAATGCCAAATGGTTTTGACTTCATAGGATCAGTCTTAGTGAATGGCCCTGGGGGACTAAGCCCTGGAAATGTTGCTAAGAGGTGAGTAGAACAAGCTTTCAAGTGGTTTTAGAAAACTTTCCTTCTCTATCAGGGCAATCCTGAGACTACTGAAATGAAAGCAGTTTAGGAAAGACATATGCCTAGATGTAAAGGAATACCAAGGAGTTAATATAGCACTAATCCCCACCTTTGCCACTTAATAACTTTGTGATTTTTGGAAAGTTACACTTTTTAAAAAAAGACTTGCAATCCGTCATTATACCTTCCCCCAAAGTAGCCCAATCATTTCATCTTACGACATGGAAACTGAGGCACAGGATAACTGTCTTGTTTTTGTCTCTTCTAAAAGTAGATCAATAACCCTTATCTCATAATTATTTCATTTTTTTAAGATTTATTTTTATTTATTTATGCATGGATCTAGGCCAGAGGTACAGGGTGTGAGAGGATTCACCAGAGACAAAATGGGGAGAATAGGAAGATCTACTGAAATACACTGCTGAAGGGAGCAAAAGGAGAGACAGGAGAGGTCTGCTGTGCCATTTGGGTTAGCTCCCTGGCTAACCCACATTGAACTCATGCTGCAGTGGCTGGTGATAGCTTGATAGCACTGTGACTTAAGCCCTTGTGCCACCAGGGAGGCCCTATCTCATAATTTTTTCAAAAAATTAGAAGAAACTAGCCGAGTGCATCAGAGACTTAGGTTGACATTGAAAAACAAAGGACAAATAGAGGCTATAGCTAAACATTTATCTAAGGGGTAGAAAGAGTACATATGAATTTTTGACCAAATCCTGAAATAAAAAAGTAAGGGACAATCCTGAAGTTTAGAACATATATTTAAAGCAAAGGAAGAATTGTGTACTGAAATAGGAAATAAGTTGTGGAACTAAGTAACCAACAACAAAAATATTATACTGTTTGGAAAATCAAATCGATTTATTAAAGGTTTAGATAAATTAAAAAGTTATCAGGAGATTTATTATGCAAAGTTAGGAATTTCTGTAAGTTATCCATAATTTTTTAAAGTTTGATATTTTATTTGATAGTATAACTTTAATTAAGTTATACTACCCACATATCATTTTTATATTCCATAAAAATCTCTAATGAGAATATTACATTAGACAAATCCTAGGACTGAATCACAGTGGAAATGGTATCTTGTATAAAGTTACTGTTACTGCAAAAAAATGTAGTCTTAACAATTGTTTCCTTGGAAATGTTAGCCTAAAAAGATCTCTGCCCACACTTACCTTCCTGTTTGTTTAAAAAACTGTTCTTCAAATTCTCGTAAGGCTTTCCGAAGTCTCTTCTTATCAGCCCTAGTTTCTCGGAGATGGTCAAGAAGTACAGGCCTATATCAGGTAAAATATATTTGTCATTACTGAGCTCTGGTGTAACTGATAAGTCATCATGAATAGATTTATCTGCTCAGCAAATCATTTATAATAGTATTCTATCTAAAAGACTAGCTATTGAATAAGTATGAAATACACACACATACACAGCCTGACTATAAGGAAGCATATAAGCAGAGGAAATAAAACAAGCCATAGGAATGAAGAAAGAACAAATTAAGCCCATTATTAAAAATGGTGAGGGCAGTGGCATATGAATAGATGAGTAACAGGCATTATGAAGGATACTCATCAGTATTTGTTGAGGCACAAGAGGAAGAGAGTATATTGACAATGGAAAAACGCAGGGGAATAAAATTAAGACTCAAAAGAACCTATAGTTACACTGAAATTCTTCTTACTTTACTAACAGTGAAAAGTCACAATGTTAGAGTAGAAATTTTTATCTGGGAAACTTGTTTATGGTTTGAGAGACTGTAAATGCCTTAAAATTATATATGGGCACTTTCTTTAAAAAAAATTCCATTACTTTAGAAAAAAAATACAATGCCCCCCCCCAAGTTAATAGCTGCTTTAGAACAACCAATAAATGAATAAATAAATGAAGGGAGGGAGGGATAGAAAGAGAGAGGGAAGAAAGAAAAGGAAAATAGATTGATTTTCTGCTTTAAAGGTCACTCTTCTATGAGCTTGAACTGAGGTACCAAATGATTCTACAAGCACATTAAAACTCATCTCACAACTTAGTCCTTGATTTCACCTCATCTATTTGTGAGGATTCTATCCCTGTCTTGAAGCATTCATTCTCCACACTATAATACACATTAAAAGAAAATCTCATAATCTGGCCAGTAATATACAAACCAAAGAAGGCCAAATGATCCAGAGGAATTTCAACTACTAGCTAATGATACTGATAGCAGTAATGCTATTAATGAAAATCCAAATGGCTCCTCCCTGAGAAGCTATTAGGGGCCAAAGGGCAGCTCATTTACTTAAGGACAAGGGGATTCCCAGTCTAGAGGAACCATCTCACTAAATGGAATAGACCAAAATGATCCCCCTGACAACTGTTAACCCATACAGGATCCCAATTCCTTTGGTGAGCATTTTCAAAGGCCTGCTCTACTTCACACGCTGCCAAGGTTGGGTCCTGCTGAAAAGATAAGTGACGACAGCAAACTGCACATTAGCATTTATAGCATCTTTAGGACCCTCTTGGGAGCCTTGGTTCCTCATGATTTTGTCTTCTCAATTCTCCAGTTAAGAAAACCACCAGATTATACTTTTAGGATTACTGTGATGGATTTTTTTAGTCAAAAAAAGCTCTTTTAAATTTCTTTATATATAGTCTCTCTATATTTTTTTTTATTTCTTTATATATCCTTTGAATTTATTTTGTGTGGTACCCCAAACAAAAAGGAGTGAACAGGAGACTCCTCACTTTAGGTTTCACACTCACATGGTGGCCTCATGTAAATTGGACATGGAGAGGGCTGGTTGTTTGATTTCCTTCTTTTCATCTGGTAGCAGGACCCTAACAGGCTCACTCTCGTTAGAGTAGGTGAGGTGGTCAGCAACAGGAAGGTGAGATGTTGGATCTGGCAAAGGTTGTTGGCTTCCCTTTGGACACTCTTCATCAGAATCCTCTTCCTCCTGCTTATCACAGGCAGATTTAAATAAAGTCACAAAATACTAAGCACCCCTTGAAGCAAAAACAGGAAGGGGAGCCATAAATAGATACCATGAAAGTATACTTAAATTTAATATTTATTTCTTTTTATATGAATATCCTGGCCAACTGACTGTTTCAATATCTATGGAGTAAGGGTTTATGGAGCTTTTCTATTTCTATATTCCTGTAAGTCATTCTTTATTAAAAGAAGTTTAATTCAATTTCAGTATTCACATTTTCTATTGAAATAAATCTACCTATAATGGTATATAAACAATGTTGTATTATATCAAGGAACATACTGTCAATTTTCATATGAAAGGAAAAAAACAGACTAGAAAGGTTTGGTTTGATCTAGCTGCATTATAAATTAGACAATACCAAAGTGAAATACATCATTTCTTCTCATCCAAGCTATGACAGCAAATGTTAAAATTGGCTTCAAAATACAATTGTGAAATATTCTCACTATGCAATAGCTTTAATTATCAGCCACTGTTAAGTATAGTACTGGGGTTGAGGGAAACATATTTCCACTTTTAAAAAATAACAACTAGTTTTGCTAGAAGCAGAGATTTCCAAGAAGATTGCTTTATAACTCACAGCACTGCCTCCCTAAAAAATAAAAATAAAGCACAAGTGCAGATTTCTAGTTAATATAAGCATTGTGACTTACAATTGTTGGAATAAGGGAAGGTGTTGACAAGATTTGCTTGATAATTCTGTATCGGTCATAAAGAGGCTTTATGAGATTCTTGTCTTGCTTAGTTACCTGAAAAACATGATATTCATTATTGTTTCTCAGACAAGAATAAAAACATGCCACTATTTTTAGCAGGTAAAAAAAAATGTTTTGAAGCTTCGAAGTAAGGCATTATACTATATAATAAAACAGTAATTAGAGCACATGCCAGTTTTCTTCTAGGAAAAGTTTCTTAAAAGATAGATCCAAGTTTAGAAAGATATTTTTAAAACTGGCTGAAGGAGTTCGTGATGTATAAATGATAATACCATATTCCTCACTGTGTTCTGAAAAAATCCAGTTAATAATCAAGACCTATTGGTATTTCTTCTGGAACATATACATATTTTATAATTATATTTACAAACACCAATCCTATCCCGGTCTTCACCACATGCTTGGGTTTTATACCTGTTTACTAGCTAGCTCTAACTATTTTGAATAAAATAATCAACTCTGAATTCACAATTTCCTACCTAACAAGGTAGTTGGAGTTACAAAGTTTGTTCCAACTAAAATATTTCATAATTTCTTATTCCTCCAGTACATTCAATACCCCTCTGCTGTATGACTGGTCCCTAAGCTTTATTTTCAACAGATCACAATATCATCTGCTTGCTTTGGTTTTCCTTCCTGCTACATGCCCTGTGTTAGATTTCCATATTATCTACTACACACAACCCCCCTTTCACTCTAGTCCAATAGTTCTCACTTGACAGGTAGTGGGAGGAAAATGGTGGAAAGCTGCACATAGAATAATGACCCTGTTATCTTCTCAAGGTAAATATTCCCAAGTGTGCTAGCCGGCTCTGCCTCCCAAGTCCCCTATTGATAATCTCAAGGGAAGAGAAAATGGCTCCAATATGTATATTTTTAAGCTTCAGAATAATTCCTATGCTACCCTATCCCCATACCAGTTGAGAACCATTCTGTTCCAGTCTGTCTTCCTTTCTCCAAAAATCTCTTATCTTGTTATCTGGCCCTTCATTGTTTTTCTGTGTTTCAATTTTGTCTGTCCAAATAAAGTTGAAGTTTCTTGAGGACACAGATTATGTCAAATTTCTTTGAAGTCTCTCAGTTCACAACATATCCCAAATTTATACGCAAAATGACTCCAATTTTTAACAATTTTCATATAAATTCCACATTCTATAAGCTACAGCGCTCTTATTTTCAGTAGGAAGATCTCTGTGGATGCCTTCTAAGAATTGGTTAAGTAACCTCAAGAGTCTTTTGCTTCTAGCCCGATCATTCCTTAAACATTTTCTTAGTCATGACACCTTTCCATGAAAATTAAGTCCTTTCATGTATCCCAAGGGGATTTAATAGGTAATAGGAAAAAACCCTCCACCTAAGTTCAGAAAATGTTGAAGTAATGTTTTTTATTGGTGCTTCTATTTCTTAGAAAATACTTGAACAAACAATGCATTTCACTATTATTGGCATCTGTCACAAAAATTTGATTTTTGTGATTTTATTCATTTTTGGTATATTCTCTGGATTCTACAAAAGCTAAATTTAGTCTAAACAAGAAAAATAGAGTAGCCAAAAAACAAGTTAGAATGAGGAATGCCATTATAAAAAATTATCTTCCACAGATGCTAGATGAAAACCAGGAAACATGTACAGTGTTTACATTCATCTTTCACTCTGATGATTTCCTTGTTTTACTCTTAGCATCATTACCAGACTGATACCCAAAGACAGCATTCAATGGTCTTAAGTATAAGACACTGTCAAAACTCTAGTTTCAGAACTGTTTATCCTCAAGCAGACTTGGAAGGAAGGCTGCCTGAAAAAGTAGGGGTGAGACCGTGTCCAGGAGCTTTCCTCTACTTATAGGCCTGTGAAGAGAAGCTCTACAAGGCATGCAAAGTCAGCTCATGAAGGATACTGAGTCAAGAGATAGTTGGGCTCTGCTGAATAGGTACCCCAAAACAAAAGGGCAAATATACATTAGACTTTATTGTTCCTCTCCACTTTCTGGTAAAAATCAGTTTTCTGAATTCAACAGCTTTCAATTTCCGAAATGCCTCTTCCCTCCCTAATCCTACATATTGGTAATTGTTTTATATTCAATATATCTAACCTTTGATTTTTGTTATGAGAATGGAGGAAACAAGTACCATGTTGAATAACCTAAAATTGCCAGAGAGAGATCCAGATGACCAACTGATTGACAAGTGTGAAAGATAAACAAGGTACTAAACCTCTAAAAATACTTACTTTTCACTCCTCTATATTCTATGGTATCAGAAGAAGTGAAAATAAAAGGTAGCTGAGCAACAGGGGATTGGGCATTTAACATGATTTGATATAATTTGCTGATAGCTTGACATCTTTGCCAAAGGAAAAAGAATCTTGATCCTCTATCTTGCAGGTTATTTGAATCAACAAGGTTTGGAATAGTAGCCTAAAACAACCTAGCTTTCAAGAGGCAGACTGCTTTCTGCTGAGTGGCCAGACTAAGTATATTTCTTCCTTGGAACTGCTCAGAAAATTGTTTGGGGGAAAAACTGCCATATGTCATAGCTTACATTGCCCTCTCCACCAATCCTCATGCCACTGGTCCCATGTATTCTTCCATAGTAAACCACAGAAATTTGAAATAAAATTAACAAACCATTCCCATAAATGTACTCTTCCTGAAAAAGACATAAAAGTGATTCTCTATTCTCTGGGCAGTGAGTGATGAGACTATTACTTTTTAGTTTTAGGGACTCAAAACCTGCCAGTTGGATCCTATGTCTCCCGTATTGAGGGAGACAGTATATGTGGACTAAATCTATTTGAAATAACTGGTCAGCCAAACAGCACAGAAAGTCTGTAATGAATATCATCATACAAAACAACTGCTGAAAAGAATGGTTTGGTCAGTTTAGACTTCCAAGCAGGGATTAATAATGGCCTTGAAACCAGAGACATGAATTCAGATAATTACCTTCAAAGTTTACAAGCCATTTTTAACATAGGAAATGGTGTAATCTCTGAAGCTTGGATTTTTTTTTTAAGATTGACTTATTTTATGTATACAAGAGCTGGGGTACAGGCCAGAGGTGCAGGGGTGGTGGTGAAAGGATTCACCATAGACAGAGTGGGGAGCAGAACAGGCAGATTGACTGAAAATACACTGCTGAAGGGAGCGGCAGGCTAGACAGGAGGAGAGGTCTGCTGCACAATGTGGGTCAGCTCCCTGGCCGGGGATCCAACTTGTGCTGCAGTGGCTGTGGATAGCTTCATAATACTGAGACTTAACCCCTTGTGTCACCAGGGAGGCCGTGAAGCTTGGATTCTTAATATGCAAAATGAGGATAAATTTTAATGTTACCATATGTAAGTATCCCACACAAAGTCAGGAGTACTTGATGTTATTTAGCTATCAAACTGGTTAACTTGAGATTACTATCAATGTATAACACTAATAACAGAATGCCATGGTGCTACTACAGAATATTTTTGTTTTTTAATGAGAAGCTCCCTGGTGGTACAGGGGTTAAAGTCTCAGCACCATCAAGCTATCGCCAGGCACTGCTGCATGAGTTAAATCCCAGGCCAGGGAGCTAACCCACATGGCGCAGCAGACCTCTCCTGTCTTGCCTACTACTTCCCTCAGCAGTGCATTTCAGCAGATCTGCATGTTCTGCTCCCCACTGTCTCTGGTGAATCTTCTCACCCCTTGCACCTCTGGCCTAGATCCCTATTCTTGTATGCATAAATAAATAAAAAAAAAATTTAAAAAATGAGACATTATTTTTTGATATAAAAAACTATCCAAATATAAAAAGTGAAAAAATGATACATAATTGCAGAAACTGCTATCATTTACTTAAAGGAGGCAGTTAAGCATGTGTATTAATACTTTCCTATATATGCTTTATTTAGAAATTCCAAAAGGGGCCTCTCCTGATGGTGCAGCGGTTGAGCGCTGGGCTGCCTGCAGCCTCTGCAGCGCCAGTTCAATCCCCGGCCACCGGTGAGGGTCCCACATGGCGCAACAGACCTCTCCTGCTGCGCCCGCTGCTCCCCTTAGCAGTGTATTTCTTCATCTGACTGCCTGTTCTGTTCCCCGCTCTGGCTCTGGTGAATTCTCTCACCCTCCCGTGCTTCTGACTGTACCCAGTGCTTGTATAAATAAATAAATAAAATCTTAAAAAAAAAAAAAAAAAGAAATTCCAAAGGACACATAAATCATTAATATAATAGTTACCTGCTAGTGAATGGGAGAGCTTAGAGCTGGATCTGCCAGATGAGGTTAAGGAGTCTTTTTACTGCCTTTTGCATTTTCTTATTAAACTATATGAGAAATTATCGCCTATTCAGACTAAATCGTTTTTCTTTAAAAAAAAGGGATAAGTAAGCAGAAGAATATAAAAGGATTTTTCTTTCAGTACTCTTACTTAAAAGTCTTTCCTCAACACAAACAACTCACTATTCAGTTATTAAATTTTTATTTGATATAAAAAGATAAAATGGGTAATTTTGCCTTTTAAAAAACTTGCTTCCCTCCTCAAAGATCCTACAGTTGGTGAAGGACTAGAAGTAAGTGCCATTACTCACCCACTTGTTAATTTATGTTGTGCACCTGACTCCAAACTACAGTTCCTAGAAAGGGCAAAAACATGGGTGTATGTTCCAGTGCCAATTTGGGATTTTTAAGAGAAAAGAGAACACAGATAGCTACTACAATCAGGGGATGATTCATTCATTTCCAGTGCTCTATGGATATTCCCGTGACCCAGTAATGATTATTTTCAAAAATCATCCATAGATGAGAGAAGAAAATTGCTCAGTAGCAATATCTGAACTGAGAAGGCACTGCTGTCAGATTTATCAGATTTAATATGATTTCTGACTAAATATCAAATGCAAATATTTCAGAAAGTCATAATAAAAGTCTCTCTAGAAAAGAACGAATTCTTCATTCCGGAAGTTTTAATATTTAATGCATCTTCAGCAGTAAAGCAAGGACCCCAAATGGATATCATCTGTCAATTTGAGTTTAAAGAAATGCGACCTAATAAGATCATCTCAAATGCTAATGAGCTCACTGGGGAGCCAGGAATAATATGGCTCTTTTGGAAATTTACACTCCTCATTGATTCTGTTGTGATTTCTGGAATCCCTCTTAAGACCCATCTTATATCCACTTCATGGTTTCCTCTGTTAAGCTCTCTGAGGAATAATACTGCAGCTTTAGGTACTGAGGCCTGCATTTCTACTTTAGATGCTCTCTATTTAAAGGCTTTAACTTCAGCCTCCTAGAGAAATACTAAGTTTATTTGAAGGAGTTTCGGACACTTATTAAACAGTTCAACAAATACTTCATCTAAAACACAGTTGGCAGTTATATAAAGATGACTTCTAAAGAATGCAATTTGTCTCTGATCTCCAGACACTGGTTTTTATATTCCTATTTGATTCAGATGCCTCATTAGAGTGACCAACTATGCCAGTTTCCTCAAGAATAAGGCATTTTAGAAGACATTGAATTTTCAGTGATAAAACCAGAAAAGCCCAGAGAAAGTAGAATGGTCAGTCACCCTATTCCTCAAAGATCCTGAAATTAACAGACCTTCTGAGTTTTTAGCCCCGACATCTGCTCATCTAGTGTTACCCATCTCAGTAAATGTTTCCTCATTATTTTAGATTCTCCCTGTCCTCCCATTCAATGATTCAGTCCTTTGATTCTATATCTAAAATATACTTTGCATATGTCTACTTCTTTCCATTTCCCAGCTGGTCATTTCATCATCTCTTTTCCACTTTTTTTCCTTATGATTTATTCTCCATACAACCTTTTAAATGTAAATCACACCATGTCACTTTCTTGCTTATAATACTTCCATGGAATAAAGCCTCTGTGTGATGGGCCCCAAGGTATCTTCCTGACTTCATCTCCTGCCATCCTATGCTCCAGCCCTTAGACTTCCAAGTACACATAAGCTCTTCCTTAAAGACCTTTATACTTGCAGTTCATCTGTCTAGAATGCTCTTTGCTGTTCTCTTGGCCTACTGATTCTTCTTCATATATGTCACCTTATCAGCCTTCCTAATAACCCTAAAGAAAGTAGAAACCACATCCATCACTTTAATTCTTTGTATAGTACTCACTAAATTCTCTGAAGATTTTATTTATTAAGCTGTTTGTTGTATCCCCTCTCCCATGAGGGCAGTAACTCCCATGACTTCTCTATCTTATTTTTTGTATCCAGCATGTATCATAGGTTATAATATAAAGTAGCTGCTTAAATCATTTTGCAAATGAATGCCCACCAATCACCAGGCATCTCACTTTACTGTCATAATAATTATATAAGTAGATATGATCTATGTTTTATATATGAGAAAATTGAATCTCAAGCATTAATTCACTTGCCAAGTATACCGGGTTAGACAGCGGCACATTCAAGTGCTCAGCGCTGCTCTAAGTCTTACACCAATCCCAAGTGATTCCTCACTGTCCTTGTCTATTGACTAAAACATAGAATTAGGTTTTCGGTACTGGCCCTTGGGCATTATAATCAAAGTAGCTATAAAATATAGGAAATACACAGCAGGATGGAAAAACCACAGTGTGCCATATGTGTGTGTGTGTGCATGCGCACATATGCACACTCATACATAGAAGTTATCCACTTACCCACTGGCTTTCACAAAAGTCCAGAATCTTTCAGAGGGGGAGGGGTGAATTGATCAAGTGAATAAAAATCTTATATTTACTCATCACAATGAATATTGACTATTTTCAAATCTAAAGATATTTCATAATGATGGCCAAGGACCCATTTCTACGTATAGATCACAAATCCCAATGTAAATGACCAGTCCATGAGGCTATGAGCCTTTTATGAATTGACATATGTTGCTGCTAAGACCAGAAAATGTACAATAGAACAAGGGAAAGCAGCATTCTCCCTAAGAAAATTTCACCCCAAAGTTAAATATACTCATTTGTCTATTCATCCAGCAAACATTTATTCAGTATCTACTATGTACAGTCACTGCAAGATGATGTGCAACAAATAATCCTTCCACTCAAGAAATTTAAAGTATAGCATGAGATGGAAAATGGCATACAGCAGAGGGCAATGATAGGTTAACTACAACTCTTATTTCAGGCAAGCACACCACTCTTGCCTGGTCACTTACAGGATTACAAGGAGGTATTCTTCACGTAAGTGAAATATAAGGACAAGTATATGCAAGATGGAGGCTCACCAGGTACAGATTAATTGCCCTCACCTTCCTCCTTGTAAAATATAATATTTTCTTTGTGATCAGGGCTTATATATCTAAAATGCCTACTGACAACTCTTTCTGGGTGTCATGCAGATTTCAAAACAAAGATGTGTAAAGCTGAAGTTTTTACTTAATACTCTTCAAGAAACCCTATCTCTCTATTCTTGTCATATAAAATACTAAGCTAACTTCATTACTATTTAAACTTTAACCTTGCTTTATTATTTTTATTAAAATATATGGTAAAATAGGCTTGTAATGCTAGTCCTAATTCATTTACTAATTTATGGGATGAAAATGGGGGGAAAAGAATATGACATACCCTATTATCTTTGCCATTTGCTTCCCATCAATAGATCACACTAACCTCTAGAATGGCAACATATCCTAGAATCGTGAGGCAATACCCCCAGGTCATGAATAACAGACCACTATGAACTAATGTGATGGAAATTTCAGAGCCAGTATCCTAAAGATGTGTATGTCACACCAGATTACTCTGACAAATTGGTCAAAACCACAATCTCTGGCAGTGTGTGGAGTACTGGGCCCTCTGGTGAGGTACCTTAGAATCCTCCTGACAGGGAAGCTGTTCTCTCTTCTTCACGCATGTCAACACCATGTCTGCAGTCTCCTCTCCAGAGGAGTTTGGCTCAGGGCCCACAGCTTCAGGCTTCCCATTCTCTCTGGGCACTGTGGGTTGCTCACAGGATAGGTTTCTAGGTGGGCCTTTGGCAGCACTCCCTTGTTCTTCTGACAGCTTCAGCTTTAGTTCTAGGAGAAAGGCATGAGTTACCATGAGCATGAAGAATTCACTGATCTTAGTACAAGCAGAGAATTATTCCTTTCAGGAATCCTCTCCCCTGAGGTCAAGTCAGTAGAAATGAACACAGCTAATGATGACTTTCCATGGGGCAATGGCAGCCTTAGTAACCAGGATAAACAGGTGTGGAAACAGAGGCTCTAGAGGCTGAGAATCATGGAGGAGGAGGATCATGTGTGGGAGTAACTCAGTGGTTAAGATTTTGGAGCAGAAATTATGGAGGAAGACCACTGCTACCTGGCACTGAAATTTCCACCTGCAACCAGAAAGTCTACACTCAAAGATTTATTCACTTGAGCTTTGAAAGTTTTGCAGTCTTTAGGAGCCTCTGTGAAAAGGCAAGTACTTCTGAGAAAATACAGGAAGAATAGGAAAGAGGAGATAGGAATGCTAGTCCCATTTGGACAGATTTCACAATTTTGTCTAATGCCAGTTTTTAAAATCCAAGATTAAGCATTATTGCAATGTGGCTTTATAGAAGCCAACAAAATTAAAAATAAAAAAGTCATTGGGGACTTTTAAGGGAATTACATTTCAGAATATGCTAGGGCACTGGTCATTTGAGTGAAATCATTTATACATTGGTGTGATATTTAAACACTGCTCATTTTATAAACCTGCTACATTATTACAAAGCTATACCAGTGAATTAACATTCCCTTCCAGTTCCTTAATCATCATCCTTCTAGAAATGTGGAAAAACTCCCAAGTCTCTATGTACATAGACATATATTGAAATGTGAGTTTGGAGAGAGGAAAATAAATTTTTATTGGTAAGCAACCAGTCTTTTTAATTGAGCTTCTGAGTTAATTAATCTCCAGAAGAGAAGTAACCCTGGATTAGGAGGCAAAAGATGGAGTTTTATATCTAGATCACCACCTCCTAGTTATGTAATCTTTCCCTCTGTCTGGGCATAAGTCCTCATCTATGTGATGGGGTACATGGAGTATTAAATGATTGCTCAGGCCACTTGTGTTTTTGACATCCAAGAATCCAGAACCCAGGGAAATTAATGCTCTACTTGTTGAAATGTTCCTGATGCTGTAGTGAATCATTCCACTGGCAAGTTGGGAGTTCCTCAATCCTTTTCTTCAAAAGTTTACTAAATAATGAAGGGAACCCAGGATCCTTTATATCAAAATGGGACCTCCAATCTAGGCAGAAAATAGTGCTAAAAGGGACACATGTGGCAAAGAATCAAAAATACTCTAGAGAACATTTTCACTATTTTAACTGCTCTCTTCCTTAGAAAAGGCATTTACCTTTGAGTTGTTTACGACCTTTAGCTAAATCATTCATCCATTTCAGGACTTCAGGATCAGATGTCTTGTCAACATGTGAAGGCTGTAAAGGGAAGAAACGTGGGGGTGGAAGAGAGAAAAGGAGAGAGAGAATAAAGTAAAAACAAAATTGTAACAATCAAAGCACACAAAGATAATTCAGGCACATATATAACTTGGAGAGAAATTCAGGCATTAAAACCCCAGCTGATGTAGATGCTTCTGAAAAATAGAGCAAATATTCTTGACCACCTCCCCACTGTCATCTTGTCATGGGCAATGTTTATAAACACAACAGGCAAACAGCATTTTTAACATAGCCCTGACTATGCTAGTGCCCTCAAAGCCTAAACCTCATTGACCTTTGAGCACCTCGCACCTCATTTCCAGGACATTCTTGGCATTAGTGTAGATGACTGCACTGATATGAACCTGCACTTGCTCCCTTGCCTCTGCTCACATACAAGGTTTATGACCATAACCTGTCTGGGGAAAACTGGAAGATTAATTGCTATCGTCATTCCCTCCATACTAAAGAAAGGCTATCCCAGGATCTTGAAAATCTGACAAAAGTCTTGAGAACTCAGTATGTCTGGGGAATACCCAGATCTCCTTGCACTGTTTCAATACCCTACTGGATTAGCATTAAAATAAAACTTAATCATGTGTGTGACCTTAGGCATGTTATTTAGCTTCTCTCTCTCCGTCTCATCTATCAAGTGAAGACTGTAATATAGCAACTCCCAGTGTGAGATAAATTAATATATGTAAAACATAGAAAAGCAGTCCACACACATGCTAAACTCTCTAGATATATTAGCTAGAAAAACTAATATTATTGTTATTTTTACTGGCAGTACAGAAGATCGTAGTAGTGTAGTATACAAAGGAATATTGATTATGTCTACACTGACAACAGATGTGGAAGGGTATGTAGGTTCTGTCAAGTAGTTAATTACACTTGGCTATAGCAATAAGAATATATAATTTTTATTTTAGAAGGACATGACTGCTCACATAAATGTTTCACCTTGATTTCTGTATTTATTCTCAGAGCATAAAAGTAGATTTTCTATTGAAAAAAAAAAAAAAACAAACCTAGGAACAAGTGGCAAGTATATCCCCATAAATCAGTAACAAACTTTCTTAAATGAATCAAGGCCACATTAGTGCAGGTTCAAGAAAACTACTGATTCCTTTGAATTGAGCATACTCTAAAGTGTATGCTCAAGATGATATGATTATAAACATTATAATAACAGCCAGAAAATGTGTGCTTTGTTAGTGACCAAGTCCAGTGGCTCTGCCACATTTCTTTCAAGATCCTGTAAATTCATATGATGTCAGCAGGTTGTTAGTGAGAAAGAGGAATAGGAAGAGGAATGTGTTCCTCTCAAGTTCAAAACAAAATGTAGTGTTTATATGAAAGGATTTTTAATTGCCCTTGGGATTAGATTTGTTTTTTGTGAAGCATAAGGCAAGATTCCGTTGCTTCTAGAGTGATATAAAAACAATACATTTTAAAATTCTGATGGAAAAGAAGAATGAAGGAAAATAAAGAGTGTTCTTTGTCCTAGAGACACTCAGACAAGATATTATGATTTCCACTAGGGAAACCCTCGTTTCAGGAATGCGGACAGTGACGCATGGGTGTGCCTCCCAAACAGCTAGCCTGGGCCTACCCAGGGGATGCTGGAATGACGGACGCACTATGCATGGTCTGGTCTACTATTCTGGCTCTTGGTAACAGTCTTGTTATATGGACAGTCAGTGTTTTACATTTGGTATCTCAAAATCATCACAGAATTCTCTGCTCTGATCTGAAAATAAATCTTGTTCTCTGGAACACATCTTTTTCACTGGATATATGCCACATGTCATATATCATACCATCTTTTGAAATACTGTTTTAGAAAAATACCCAAACTGAGATCCTAATCCTATGAGTACCAATGAAATTCATCTTCACCATTGCCAATATGACTTAGGAGAAATTTAAGGCTGAATTTTATGAAGTGATTTTTTTTATTTCCCTACTCTTAGGGGAGCTTTCAAACAAGGTTAAGTCCAGCTCACAAGGATGGCAGCTCTCAAGCCACATGAAAAGTTTTCATATACTAGCTATGGATCTTCAAGCTTTATAACTTCAGAACAGAAATATTTCTGTTTAATAGACCCCAAGGGCCACACACCCATAAATTACAGTGTAGATTTTGTTCAATGCAGTAAAAATGGGCGCCTGAGTCACATAACCGATGGCAAAACTGGACCAAATTTATGGTACGCCACAAAGATTTCTTGATTAGGAATGAAAAGACCCGAGTTGTTTTCTTAGCTAAATGATCCTTTGCTGTATGATCCTAATGAAGTCACTTCCCTTCTCTGGACCTCAGTTTCTCTCATGGTCAAAAAAGAAATAAGACTGGCTGATCCCTTCCAATTCTAACATTCTCTAATTCCATGAATTGGGCCATCTCACTTTTCAATGTCCATTAATCTAACTATAGTTAAATATAAAATCAATTGTATGGAAAAACATGGTTTGGACAGAAATGTGAAGTGGTTGCATTCAAAAACAGAGGGAAAGAGGTAAGTAGTACATAAGCATCAGACTATCACAGAGGCCCAGATGGAGTGTGGATTTAAAAATTAGCAGTGGGTGCCATTAGTTCCACAGTTAGGCTGCCAGGAAGGAGAGTCTTAAACACAATAACCAATTAAAGGTCATTGGCATATCAAACCTCTAACCACAGCCTGGCACTCTGACAGGAAGGGCAAGGGGAAGCCCTGTTTCCTGAAACACAGAAGGTTCTGATCACACCAGACTTTTATACATTCTGAGGCTGCAGTGACCATGAAGCTTTCTTCCCCTGTTGTTCCTGAATCCATCTGTCTACATGTATGAGTGTTTCAGTGTGCGGGCATGTGTCTGCTCTGGCACTAAAGCTTCTCTGGACAAGGGCAAAAGGTTCCAGGAGAAATTCTCTTCCAAAATAGCCAACTGCCAGGAGACTGCTATAACTGAGAGAAATAATCCAGGGTCTGTGGCTACAAATAGAAAAGTCCAATGGAAAATTAGTATGTATAATTTTCTGGCAAGACAGAGACTGCCGCAGAATATCCTATTCAAATACCACTCAGATTCTAAAGTCAATCATCTCTAAACATGGGAATAAGCATTATACATGCACTCCCTCATTTAATAATCACCAATTTCAGAAAGATCTACTAATATTGACTCCCATTGAGACTCAGAAATATAAAGTTTAAACAATCCACAGTCACAAGTTCCTTAGTGACAACTGGATTCAAATCCAGATCAGTCTGATTCCAGAAGTGCCAGTTAAGAAATAATTGACAGGTACTGGGAATGGAGCCCATAGATGCTGCTCTGCAGTTGCAAATGTGAGAGCATCACTGATGCAGTAAGATTCCACTGGCACACAGAGAAAATCAACTTCTCTTGGCTATCTGGAGTTTTCAAAATGTGGATATTAATAAATTTTACTTCCATTCTTTCTCTGAAAAACCTGCTCATCTTTAATCTACCAGCCCAAGCCTGAGCTGATAGGACACAACTACCTTAGACAGTTACAAATCTTTGCCAAGTATGCGTTTCCTTTTCTGAAGTCCTGGGTGGAACACCGTCCCACCTATAATAAATTACCCAAATTTGGTGACTGCCTAATGAAAGGAAGACAAGAATCTTCAAAAATTTGGAGGTTGTCTTGAAAACCAATATGATACATCTTCCATTTTGCAACACTTAAAACCCCTCTTTTAGTGGAAAACACAAACAGGAAGAACGGGAGAGTAGACTATTACCCACTCTCACCTCCCTCTCGAAAACTTATCCCACACTCATACAGACCTGCCAATTGCCGCTATACCAAGTGCTTTGTGAGCCTTTAAATATTTCAAGATGTATGAGACATTATTCCTTGTTCTCTTTGATTCTAATAACAAGCTGTTCTGGGCCCTCTGCCAAAGACCTGATATCTTTGTGCAATTCTACATGAATATATTTTTTCTCTATGCCATGGTCACCATTAGAGAAAATAAATAAAACTAACATTGGTCATGAGGACACTTACCTCTGACTCTATATTGGTCTTAAATAAGACAATAAGAGCTTCCGCACAACAGCACAAAAACTGATGGAAGGACGGATCAGGATTTGTTCTTATGAGTGACCTGAACCGATGTCACTGGGAGGACCTCATCCATCAAAAGGAAGTACTTTAGTGTTGAAAAAAACTCTCTCCCTCATTCTGTTCCACAATTAGAGATTCTGCCTTTGGGTCTTTAATTGGTTCTTATTAGAGGGTTATTAGAGAGCAAAAGAAAAAAATGAAGGCCATCATTTAAAAGTTTTCCAAAGTTGGTCCTAGGAAACACTAGTGAAGGTAAAATTTCTTGGTGAGAAAATGGGAATCAATAATCAGTTTGGAAATAAGAGCTGTAAACCGTCACTAGGTTATACCTTACTGGTGATCCACTGACCTGCTGTGAGATAACAAGACAGGCCAGGATGGGCTCTCAATTCATGACAGATCCTAGTTTGCTGATCAAACAGAGCTGTCCACTGGCACAGAGGGGTACCCAAAAAAGGACAGAAAAGCCCACACACTTAGTATCTGACACAATCCTCTGTTGTATTCGAACTCCAGCTCCTTACCCGGTATTTCTTTTCTTGTTCAAATTTTTCTTCAAATTTCCGAATTTTCCGTTTGAGGCTCTGGATATGCTTGGTGAGTTGAGTAATGGTCTGTGGCTCCTTGCCATCACCACAGCTGCACCGTGAAGAACTTCTGGGCCTATGATGATCATAGGGAGGGGAAGATTCATCAAAAATAATCATCTTCCAGCAGTGAACACTGCTGCTGGATGACAAACCAAGCTCCCTAGATTTTCAGAGAAGTCTGGAGACATTTGGTCTATAAACCAAGCTTCCTAGACTTTCAGAGATGTTAGGAGTCAACTACAGTAGTATCTGTTCATCAATGGAGACCCACTGTTCACAGAACTCCAATTGGACAGATGTCCTCAGGGATTTTGGCATATAAATACCAGAGTATTAGCACAGGAAATGCACTAGTTAAATCTTGGGAGAAATCAATTTAGGACTGAAAACAGACAACCCTGTTATGGTGATTTCATCAATGGGTTGCATGAACTACCAACATCTGCAAGGAAAATTTAGATGACTAATAAGTTTTTCTTGACATGAAAGAGCCTCTGGGGATCTGATGACATAAAAGAGCCTCTGGGGATCTGATGACATAAAAGAGCCTCTGGGGATCTTGACATAAAAGAGCCTCTTCACAATGTGTACACCTCCTCACATGACACACACTTTATAAGCATTAGCAATAATTCACTAACTCCCTCAGGTCCATCAGTAGTCCAAGAGCCCAGATTTAGATAAATTCATGAATAGCAGTAGGACCTAGCTATCAAGGGGAAACTAGGAATTCCCCACACATATTTTTTTGCCAAAGCAATCTCATTTAGCTATAGATCAAAATTATTCGTGAAACTTTAAAGGAAAAGAACATATACATCCACACCTTTTGGTGAGATGGAGCAGCAATTGAAAACTACTACTCTTCTCAAATCTAAGAAACTAAGGTGACCAGCTCCCAAGTACAGCAAAAATCTGTTTACTGGGGCTAAAAACAGAAAGTATATTGAGCTCATCAAGAATGATATCTGGGGGGGCGGAGCAACATGGCGGCAAGGAGACGCTGCGAGTAAGATCTCCCATTAAAAAAAGTGAATAGGGAGGAAAAGCGGCAGGTCCCAGTGAGAACTGGGACACGGAAGATAAACGGGTGACGCCAGCGAACTGCCCGAAGAAGAAACTGGCCATAAAAGAGGACTAGAAGGGAGGGAAGCGCAGAACCCTGCTCCCCTCCCCGCCCACAGAGGCGGCACTCTCCGACCGGCAGAGAGGAGGAAACAACAAACCAAAACGGCCCACAAGAACAAACGACGCAGCAAGCGGGACTGTGAGTGGAAAGGAACTATTGCAGCCACCACACCCCGTGAACGGGAGCTGAGGCGAACCCTGCAGGATCCGCCGCGGCGGTGAGCGAACGGCTCCGGGCGCCATTAGAGAAGAACAAAGACCCCGGGAGACGCGCACACAGCCCGGGCTGCCAGTAAGCCTGCGCGGGAAAGCAGCGCGCTCGGGGAGCTTGAAAAGCAAGTGCAGACCTGGATCTCGGCTGCCCAGGTCCCTGCGCCTGCGACCTAGGCTTGTGGGGAGACGACCTAGGCTTGCGGGAGACACACGGAGGTCCTCACTGAGGTGAAGGTCCCTCCCTGAGTGAGCAGGAACCAGGCGCCCAGGCACGGGAGCTGTGCAAAAGGCACCATTCCCGCGCCACTGAACTGGGCTACAGCCCGCGTCCTGGAACTGAGGGCTTTGAACTGAGACCCGGGGCATGAAAATTCGGGGCGTGGTTTCTCCACGACGGTGGGGCACAAGGCAGACACAGCACCCCAAAGCTGTTGAGGTGTACCCTACCATTCCCGCTCTGTTCTCTGTCCCACGGGGTGGGGGGAGGCGAAAAACAGCCCCCCAAGGACAATAGGAGAGATCTCTGGCGCCACCTAGCGACCAGGAAAAAAAAAAGTCACTAACACCCTATAAAACAGGACATTTCTTAAGACTGCTTGAAAAGGGCAGAAGGTTTCTGGAGGACCCAGTGGCCAGCCGGGAAGTTATTCCATGCCAGGCCCCTTCCGATCAGCAGTCTGAGCCCACAGAGGGAGCAGGCACCCACGTCTGGGGCAGACTGGGTGCGCAGAAGAGTGTGCCTGAAACCGGAGGCGCAGGGACTGCATCCGCTTCGCCATTTGAGAACAGGGACATTTCTTCAGTAAAAACTGCCTAAAACCAGCAGAAAGCTCCCCCAGAAGACAGAGATGGCTCCTGGAAGAGCCAGAGGGGAGCGGAGAAGTTCACCCAAGATGTCAGTCAGTCCGAGCAACACAGTGTCCCAACGCATACGACAAATTAGAAAACAGACAGTAGGGAGTAGAAGAACCACACGCAACCTAAAAACTCCTCAGGAAAGAAGCACACCACAAAAAGAAAACCACTCCCCAGATTGCAACGACAGCAACTTGGAAGAACTTCTGAGCCTTCCAGAAAGAGAATTTAAAATTGCCATGATTAAAAAGTGATAGATCAGAAGAAGGAAATTGAGTCCCTAAAGAGGGAAGTAAGAGAAATGCAGGAGATCAAAGAATTAATGGAGGAACTAAAGAACTCTGGGAAAAGCAATGAAAGCAGAATAGATGAAATGGAAGAACGAATAAGTAATCTTGAAGACACAGAAATAAAAAGAACCAAAACAGAAAAGGAAAGAGAAGTACGAAGGAAAAAGAATGAAGAAAGACTTCGGGAACTATCTGACTCCATGAGGAAAGAAATATAAGAGTTATAGGAATTCCAGAAGGAGAGGAGAGAGATGTAGGAACAGATAAAATATTCAAGAGATATAATTGAAGAGAACTTCCCAAATGAGAAGAAGGAGCTGAAAATTGATATACAAGAAGCAAGAAGAACACCAAACTTCCACGACGAAAGAAAAACACAGCAAGACACATAATAGTAAAGCTCCCAAGAATCCAGGACAAGGAAAAAATAATGAAGCTGACAAGAGGGAAGAAACAGATAACATTCAAAGGAAAACCAATCAGGCTGACATCAGACTTCTCTGAAGAAACACTACGGGCAAGGAGAGAGTGGAGGGACATAGTCAACAGACTCCAAGAAAACAGATGCCAACCAAGAATACTCTATCCCGCAAAGCTCTCTTTCCTCCATGAAGAAAGAATATGGACCTTCCCAGACAAAGAGAAACTCCGGAATTTCATTGCGACTAAACCCCCACTCCAAAAAATACTACAAGGAATCCTAAAGCCAGAACCTCAGAGGGACGAATAACAACGAAAGAAGACCAAAAAAAAAAAAAAAGTTATTAAAAGAATAAATAAAATCAAAGGAAAGACAAACATAATGGCAAATACAGATGCTAACATATCAATATTAACTCTAAATGTAAATGGACTAAACTCTTCAATAAAAAGACACAGAGTTGCAGCCTGGATTAAGAAACAAAACCCAACCTTTTACTGTCTCCAGGAAACACATTTAGCTACAAAAGATAAAAATAGGCTCAAAGTCAAAGTATGGAAAACAATCCTACAAGCAAATGGGCCAAAAAAGAAAGCAGGACAGCTATACTTATATCAGATAAAACAGACTTCAAACTCAAAAAAATAAAAAGAGACCCCAATGGTCACTACATTATGATTAAGGGGACAATACTTCAAGAAGAAATAACACTCATTAACATATACTCACCAAACGAAAGAGCACCAAAATATATCAGACAACTGTTGTCCTCTCTGAAAACAGACATCAGAGAAAACACATATGTAGTGGGAGACTTCAACACACCACTATCAACAATGGATAGATCAACAAGACAAAAAATAAGTAAAGAAACTAAAGCTCTAAATAAGGACCTAGAGCATTTGGGCTTAACAGACATCTATAGAACACTAAACCCAAAAAAACGGAGGAGTACACATTTTTCTCAAGCGCACACGGATCATTCTCCAGGATCGATCACATACTGGGGCACAAGACAAACATCAACAGATACACCAAGATTGAAATCATACCAACCATCTTTTCTGACCACGAAGGCATCAAACTAGAAATAAATCATAAAAAGAAGGCAAGGAACTATCCTACCTCATGGAGATTAAAAGCCACACTACTGGAAGACCACTGGACTAACGAGGAGATCAAAGAAGAAATTAAAAAATTCTTTGAATTGAATGACAAGGAGGACACCAATATCCTAAATGTATGGGATGCAGCAAAAGCAGTAATAAGAGGAAAATATATAGCAATAGAAGCTCACATCAAAAAACAAGAAAACTCAAAGAAACAACCTAATCTCGAAGCTCAAAGATCTAGAAAAAGAACAACAAAAAAACCCCAGAACCAGTAGAAGAAAAGAAATAATAAAAACCAAAGCAGAAATAAATGAAATTGAAACTAAAAAAACAATCCAAAAGATCAATGAAACCAAGAGCTGGTTCTTTGAAAAAATAAATAAAATAGACAAACCCCTAGCCAGGCTCACAAAGGAAAAAAGGGAGAAAGCACAAATACACAGAATCATAAATGAAAGAGGAGAAATCACAACGGACACAGCAGAAATCAAAAGAATAATCAGTAACTACTATGAACAGTTATATGGAAACAAGTTCAACAATCTAGAGGAGATGGACAAATTCCTACAACTCTACAATCACCCAAAGCTAGATAAAGAAGAAATAGAACACCTAAACAGACCAATTTCAAGCAGCGAAATTGAAATGGTAATCAAAAACCTCCCCAAAAACAAAAGCCCAGGACCTGATGGATTTACAAATGAATTCTACCAAACATTCAGAGACGAATTAGTGCCTATCCTTCACAAACTCTTCCAAAAAATTGAGAAGGAAGGGACAATACCAACACGTTCTATGAAGCCAACATTACACTAATACCAAAACCGAACAAGGACAACACAAAAAAGGAAAACTACAGGCCAATCTCCCTAATGAACACTGATGCAAAAATCCTCAATAAAATTTTAGCTATCAGAATCCAACAATGTATCCATAAGATAATTCACCACGACCAAGTTGGATTCATTCCAGGGACACAAGGATGGTTTAACATCAGAAAATCAATCAACGTTATCCAACACATCAACAAAAAGAAATATAAAAACCATATGATAATATCAATAGATGCTGAGAAAGCTTTCGACAAAGTGCAACACCCATTCATGATAAAAGCCCTTGAAATTCTTGGGATACAAGGAACATACCTCAACATCATAAAGGCCATCTATGACAAGCCAACAGCCAGTATCATTCTCAATGGTGAAAAGCTGAAAGCAATTCCATTAAGATCTGGAACAAGACAAGGATGTCCACTCTCACCACTGCTTTTCAATATAATACTGGAAGTCCTAGCCAGAGCAATAAGACAAGAGAAAGACATCCAAGGAATCCAAATAGGAAAAGAAGAAGTCAAACTATCACTATTTGCAGATGATATGATAATATACACAGAGAACCCCAAAATCTCCACAGAAAAACTAATTCAACTCATCAATCAATTCAGTAAAGTGGCAGGATACAAAATCAACACGCAAAAGTCAGTAGCCTTCCTATACACAAACAATAAATCTGAAGAAGAAGAAATCAAAAAAACCACCCCTTTTATTATCGAAACAAAAAAATCAAATATTTGGAATAAATCTAACAAAAGAGGTAAAGGACCTATACAAAGAAAACTATAAAACACTGTTAAAAGAAATAGAAGAAGACACAAAGAAATGGAAAGACATCCCCTGCTCATGGATTGGAAGAATAAACATTATTAAAATGGCCATCCTACCAAAAGCAATATACAGATTCAATGCTATTCCAATCAAAATCTCAATGGCATTCTTCAAAGAAATAGAACAATTATTGATGAAATTCATATGGAATCACCAAAAACCCCGAATAGCCAAAGCTCTACTGAAAAAAAAAGAAGGAAATGGAGGCATCACACTCCCAGTCTTCAAACTATACTACAAAGCCATAATCATCAAAACTGCATGGTATTGGCACAAGAACAGACATACAGACCAATGGAATCGAATAGAAAATCCAGAAATAAACCCACAGATTTATGGTCAACTAATCTTTGACAAAGGAGCAAAGACTATGCATTGGAGCAAAGAAAGTTTGTTCAATAAATGGTGCTGGGAAAACTGGGTCGCTACATGCAAAAGAATGAAGCTTGACCACTACCTCACACCATACACAAAAATCAACTCAAAATGGATTAAAGAACTAGACATAAGACCTGAAACCATAAAATACATAGAAGGAAATATAGGCGAAACACTACGGGATTTGCACATCAAAGACATCTTTACAGACACATCACCCAAAGCAGTGATAGTGAAGAGAAAGATAAACAGCTGGGACTACATCAAATTAAAGAGCTTCTGCACAGCAAAAGAGACAATAACAAAAACAAAGAGAAACCCCACCAACTGGGAGAACATTTTTGCACCCAACACTAATGATAAAGGACTGATCACAAAAATCTGCAAAGAGCTGATGAGACTCAGCAACAACAAAGAAAATAATCCAGTCAAAAAATGGGCAGAAGAGCTAAAAAGAAACTTCTCTGAAGAGGAAATGCAAATGGCCAACAGACATATGAAAAAATGTTCAACATCACTTGTAATCAGGGAAATGCAAATCAAAACTACCATGAGATACCATCTCACACCAGTGAGAATGGCACATATTAAAAAAACTAGCAACAACAAATGTTGGCGAGGATGTGGAGAAAAAGGAACTCTTGTGCACTGTTGGTGGGAGTGCAAACTGGTCCAACCATTATGGAGAGCTGTGTGGAGATTTCTGGACCTACTAAACATAGAGCTTCCATATGATCCAGCAATTCCACTCCTAGGTATTTACCCAAAGGACACAGAAACATCAATTCCAAAGAGCACCTGCACTCCTATGTTTATAGCAGCACTGTTTACAATAGCTAAGCTTTGGAAACAACCCAAATGCCCAAAAATAGATGACTGGATCAAGAAGATGTGGTACATATATACCATGGAATATTACTCAGCATTCAAAAAAGATAAACACATGCAATTTGCAGCAACATGGATGGCACTGGAAGGGATCATGCTCAGCGAAATAAGCCAAAAAGAAAAAGAAAAATACCGGATGGTCTCACTCATAGCAGGAATCTAGAAAACTTAAATAAGGGACCAGGAAAATGAATATAAGAAAGTGAGAATCAAAATCAACAAAAAACTATGAACCAGAGACACTTTTTGGGGGGTGGGGGCGGGAGGGAAGGATTGGGGTCAGAATGGGGCGTTTGCAATTGTATGGGGGAATATAAAAATAAAATTTAATATTTAAAAAAAAAAAAAAAAAAAAGAATGATATCTGCAGGTCCATATACTAATCAGGACTCTGGTCATTTCATCAAAAATGTTCAAACATGTGAACTCTTGAGTAGCCTGTATCTCATGAGCATTTTCTACTGACACAGGAGGGGTGGAAACAGCATTCCCAACTACTGTACACTGAGTTTTGCCACTGACCTATTCAGGTCTCACAAATGCATTTGGTAGGCAAGTTTGCACTATTTCAGATACATGCTTCACTGTAGTTTATAAATGTAGTATTTGAAAGGCTGTGTGAAATGAAGATAATAGCAAAACAAGGCTTGCTTACATCATAAACTGTTGAGTACTGGGCGGAGAAGGGGCTGATTCTGGATCTAAGTTGAATCTCTGGCTTTGGCTGAAGATGGAGCACCGTGGTGACAGGAGCGGGTTGTCACCATCAGTGATGTGATAGAGCAGCCTGCTGGTCCCAACAGACTGGAGGTCTTCTGGCACGCTGTCTGCTTCATTCTGCCCATCCCTGTGGTCGGGAGCAGGGTCTGAGGAAACAAGATAAATCATCAAGACTTAGAAGTGACAGAGGGCTTGAGACTGTCATGTTTCTAAATAAATATCATAAACATTTATTATAGTGTCTGGCCTCTTTGTCATTGCTTCTTTCCGGGAATACGGAAAGCTTTCAAAATAGTGTCATGTTTGTTCTCACAGAACCTGGATAGAAAATATTACAAAGCTACTACCACTAACAACATCAACAACAAAACGGAAATATAAACTATTTTAGTATGAGTTATAAGTCAGCAGAGCCCCAAACCACCAAAATCTTGTGTTTATTCAATGCCACTGGCATTTGTTCAAGGGTTTGTTACAAAATATAAGAGCAGATAAAAAGAAAACAATAAAATGGAGCTGAAGCAAAAGATGACAGATTATGAGGAAGAAAATGGATAACAGAATTGCCAGTGGAGTGGGAAGGAAAAGAGGGGAGAGGAGTCCCCAGAGAGAAAATTATTCAGCAGTCATTAAAAATGATGGAGAACTCTGCTTATCAAAATGGAATGGTGTTCACAACAGGCTCAATGAAAAGCATAGATTTCAAAACAAAACTAATGATTCCATTTTATATAAAAAAGAACACGTTTATATGTAACAACAATTACACCGCAAGGTCAAAGAGGCTACATAGTAACTTCAAAGCATGGTAGAATTAGGAATGATTCAAACTTCACATAGCATTCTATTTTGAACAAAAACAGAAAATATAAACAAAACCTGCTCCAAACCCTCTGCCCAGCTAGGCGGCTGGCTTTGTGCCTAATTCTCATTATGCTGATTCCTCTTAAAAATCAGCTCTTAGCTCCCCAACCCAGGGTCTGTCCAGAAGGTGGGCACCCCTGTGGTACAGGTGTGGGCAGCAGAGTGAGTACCATGAGGACAGGGAGTCAGGGTGGACTAGGTAAGGGTCTCTCCGTCCTAAAGCTCTGCACTTATTCAAGAGGCAGCCAAAACAGTCCTTCCTCAATTTTTTTCCAGAAGACAAGTCAAGACAACCCTAGGCTTTCTCTTACCCCTAAAGTAAGAGGAAAACTGGTTTTCTGGGTGGACAAACATAATCTAGAAATACTCACATCTACTTTTCCAAAATAAACATTTATCATAATTGGGTACCGGATGAATTGTAATCAGGTTTACAATGGCTCGTGTTCTCTAGAGCTTGAAATGCAATTTGCTTTGTGTAACATCAAAGGCCTGATTTGGTCCCTATGTGTTTTCAGTTGACTTCTTCCCTTTTGGGTTGCAGACTGGGAGGGTAGGTTACGCCTCCTATTGTGCCTCTAAAGCTCAGGGACAGCACTTCTGTCAGTGGTTGAGACTAGTCAGGCAGCATGGGGTGGTGACTGGGGAAGAGTTGGAACCAGATGAATGTCACTGCCTCGTGCCCCAGCCAGGTGTGCTGGAGTGACAGACAGCTCCCCACAGCAACACCCTTGCTATGAATAATAATCCAGGAAACACTGTGGCAGCCGCCCTCAGGAGTAACAGGAACAAGAGCTATTAACTAACCAGTCACAAATAAAGTAACAATCACCTTCCAAATTGACTAGGCTGTGTCTGGGTTCCTCATCCATGTCTTTTTCTTAAACCAGTAGGCTCTAAGAAGAAATGGATTAATTCATGTTACCTGTTTCTTGGCAGTATCTTTTGGGAAGAATGATGAAGAAAAGAATCCTTAGCAAGCACCTGGGAAGAGGATATTTATGTAGAAATAGGAAAGATCTGAGGCCTTAAACCCTTCAGCTCAGCTATGGCCCCAGGTCAAAATGAATGTGAATCCGCTGGAGCTGATTTTCAATGCCAGAAAGGAGGCACTTTGGTTCCTGGCCACCTGACTGAAGAGGAGGTGAGGAAAGAGTTCAGTTTCTGAAACCCACAGAGTCCAAAGATCTAACTTCACAGAATCACAGACCACTACGAGACCACTTCACAGACTCACAGGACCTACCTTACAGTAGTGTGCAGTGCACTGCAAACCTCCACTTACATGGCATCTGTTTTCTGTGGGTGCTCCCATAATTTACCAGTGCTGCCTAATTAACATCCTGGCCCCTCTTCACCCCCAATTCACCACTGACAGAAGCAGTAAGCTAGAATGATCCCAATGCAACCAAGTGAAAACCAACAGTCAAAACCCAGTAATTTGGTAGCTCTCCAGTTCTTTATCCAAACTCACCATCTGAATTAAGTGGTTGAATTAAATCAACAGAAACGTGTTATGTGTGTGTGTGCATTTGAACAGACAGAATTACTGACATTCTTGATCAGAACAGGCCGGTGAGTTTCAGAGCCAGCCGTCCTTGCTGCCACACTGGGAACAGAGCCCAGGCCACCTTGGACAGACCCTGCTCCCAGACAGGGAGAAGCAATATTGACCTCCGGTGGCTTTTGATGGTTCCCTGGGGGCACAAGACTTTTTTTTTCCAAAGGAAGAGGCAGCTTGCCAGGAGCTCTCATGTGCCCAGTATGTTTGAGAGGAAGGGAACCAAGGAGTCATGCGTGCCTAAACTTTCCTGTAGAGCTCAAGAGAACTCCCTGGCCTCTGTCAGTGTCCCAGTCTTACAGGGCTGCGACAGAGAAGTAAAAGGACACTGCAGTACAATATTGTACCTGTAGTTAATGAAACAGTGTTCTACACTGAAAAGGTTAAGAGGGTGCATCTCATACTGTGTTCTTACCACAACAAAAAAAAAATTGTTCTCCCTCTTCCTTTTTGTATTTGCTAAAATTTCTGTAACAAATGTCTTAGTTTTATGGCAAGGAAAATAAAAATTAATATAAAAATTTGGAAAAAAGAAAAAGAAAAAGCATTCTTGAGAGGGCAAGTAAGAAACAATGCCAGCTCAGCACTCTAGAGAGCAAAGGCTGTGAGACGGAATCCTAGGTCTATCACTGAACAAGAGGCAATTCAGAAACAATGGATCTTTCTAGACTTCAATTTCTTCATCAGTAAAATGGTAAGAATAATAGTGACAGCCTCACAAGGCTGTGAGGATAAAAGGAAACGACCTTTTTACAAATTTTGCCATATCTATTTTGCATAGACCTATTTTTAAAAAAATATGTACATATATGTACAGCAAACAAGTATATCATATGTATAAGTTTATATATTTTCTACATATATTTATTAATATATATATGGATAGATACACTTCAATTTAGTTTAATTTCAGTTCCATTCTAGGCAAGGTGGCCAAGAAATCATGAATTTGATACTACATTTTTTAACTAAAGCACATTACCATAAATTGCTATTAAAACAAAAATGATCACCTGTGCTTCCTTTGTATAGCATATTTGGTGAAACACTAAGATGGAGTATAAAAACTACTAAACACGGTAATCATGAAAACCTCATTTTAATAATTATTATAATCAAATAAGGAAATAAAACATCTTTGCTTACGAGCACCAACCACACTAGAGTCCCTGTGGGGTTACTGTGGAAAATGAGAAACAATATACCCCCCCTATATTTATAAATAAGGACTGATAGGACAGAAAGTAATAATAATCATCTATCATATCTAATATTTATGGACTGGTTCACTATGTCCTCAGGGTTTATACTTGTATTTCATCTTCATAACAACTATATGAGACTGGTAGTAATAGGATATTCACTTTAAATTTAGTAGGGAAAGTGGTACGACTGTGTGAACTCCACCCAAAGAGGGCTTGCCCAGGGCCCATGGCACATCTCTGGCCCTAGGAGCTTACGAGGGTTTCCCACAGTCACTCAATGAGCAGTAGGGAATACACAGAAGAGAAATATTCATCATCCTTGGTGTGTGAGGCCATGAGACCACTTCTGAGCTCGCTATACCTCTAGGCAGAAGCAGATGCTGCACTATGGCTGTTAAATAAGTCAGTTATATTGAAAATGATATCTTCTGATGTGAATTTTTAAAGCAATTCAATATTTAAATAAGTATCACTACTTGAGCTGGACTGCTGAAATCTGAGTAATAAATAGCCACCGTCTTATGGACTTAAGTTTTGCTTGCGTTTGACATCATAGTAGACTCCTAAGTGGCATTCAACATCCAAAAAGTCAAACATCAGCCTTTGTTGATTTTAAAAATGAAATGAGCCAAAAGCCTGTTGTGATTCCAATGAAGCTCAAGTCTCAGAGTTCTCAGCCTCCCTATCTGGACAGGTAACGGAAAGTTTAATAGTGACACACACAAAAGAAGCTGTGAAAACAAAAATAAAACGCAACCAACAATCATGTGGTGGATACAAGATGGGTTTGGTTTTAAGTATTTTTGACTAAGAGGTTAGCTATGGGGTCACAAAAGAACAGACATGAATAAGCCTGAAGTGATCCCGGTAACTAAGCTGGGGAAATAGATGAGCTTGCTTGAGGAGAGACCACTGTGAGGCAAGACATGACATGGCCAATGTAGCATGGGCAGGGTAGGAATGAGGGCAGATGAGGAAAAAGTCAGGTTGGCATCAATAATGAGAAACTAAGTGGGGAGAGGTAGGCACTCCAAGCAGGCTTCTGCATGCCAGCTTCTGTGGATGGGCACCTGAAATATTAGGGAGCTTGAGGGGTAGGAAACTATTTTGTGAAAACAGGCATTAAGACAGACACCCTGCCAATTCCAAGAGGTAGTTTACCAACATGAATCAAAACATGTGCTACAGTCTCAGAAACACCTAGATTCAGGCCCCACTGATGTGTGACGTGGACAAACTAATCTTTTTCAGTATCAGTGCTCTCATCTGTCACATGGAAATTCATTCATCCATTATTCAACAATGTTATTGACCATCTACTGAATGCCATGTCCTGTTTTAGGTGAGAAGGATACTAGTATCTACTTCATAAATTGTGGGGAGGATTAAACAAGATAAGGACCCTCATGCTTAGGACAGTGCTGAGGGGAATATAAAGTCTATCAATAATTGTTAATTGTAGCTTTGTATTTATGCTGGTATCTCTGACCTAGTTAGGGAACTTAGGAAGGGAGCC